CCTAAGCCAGATATGCAGATGCCTGATCTGATTGTGAGTGTGCTAATGCAGGGCTTCTGTGCACACAACATTGGCATGTGTAAACCTAGAGATTAAGTAGAAGCTGATGATATTAAGCAGAGCAACGGTACTATGTATTTAAAAGACCAGATGGGATGGAAATTAGAAATTCACTCTAACTGATGCAAGCATGTGGGGATGTTATTCAAGTATCTTGATCCAAACTGGGGTCTGGAGTAAACCAGAGGTTACAAAAACAAACCCGAAAGTACTTCCCTCTCCAAAGTGACCGCTGTGCTTCAAACTGGAAATGGGGGGGTGCCAGTGAGGCAGCTCTGGCTTGCTTAGTCAGAGAGCACCCCATTTTCTATTAATGCCCCCGGATAGGAGAGATTCTGCCTGTGCCAACCCTTCAATTTGAAAAATGGATCCTAGACAGGACACCCCACCTTCAACTGCAAGGCACGACCACAGTAAAAGGCAAAGGCCTGAGCCCCAGGGAGCAGCCCCCACAGCCAGCAGACATGTTCCAGCCTGCCGTAGCCACTGACCACCAGACTGCCCTACCTCCAGAGGAGGCCTGGCACAGACAACCCTCTATAGATAGCCCAGACTCCAAGTAACGTGGAGTTCCACACAGGCCGACCGTCTCCGCAAAGCCCACCTGCACATACCAAGCCCTAGGCAGGCCTCTGGCAGTACCTCAGGGGCTCAGCTTAGTCCCCAGCTGCCACTTGAAGTGCTCGGCTCTGCAAGATCCCATAGTGCTTTTTTGCAAAATGGAAGGGAACTAATCTCACTGCTGGCCAAATTCCAGCTTTGAGTAATTACATTCTTCTGACAAATTTTCCTTGGCAGTTTCAATGGAATATAATTAGTAAATGTAAATAGATGTAAATAGTGCTGTAAATTACACTTTGCGTGATTGTCAGAAGCAGAAGGGGAGAGAGAGGGTGAAGGGGCAAAAAAAGCAGAGCTTCATTCTCCAATATGGACGATGTTGTGGCCTTCTCTGCCATCAGACTGCACATGTCTCTGCCAGGACAGCGCGTTCAGGGCTACTGCAGCAGCAGATGCCACGATCCACATTCATTGTGTGGTTTCATCACACAGATTATCCACTTCACCTCGAGTACAATTCTGACCTGACGGTGTTCGGTCATGTCCCACAGCTGTGTTCGTAAGCAGCTGCTGTGTTCCACCTCAGCTGTGCTTCTGCTTCAGCAGCAGGCAAACTGCTTCACACTCGCACACATGCAACTGCAAAACGTGTGTGTATGATATTATTGTTTTCTATGAAATGCTTATCAAATTTGTGAATGGTTTATGAAACCTTCTGCTACCAACTGAGTAAGTGTCATATAAATGGAATTATGTAATTACCCTTCATAGTTATTTTCATGTAGTGTCATGTATTAGTTTCACCTAAAGTGGAAACAGCTTCTTGCAAAAATAAATGCATATATTTAACTTCATGTAATCAAGTAGATTTAAAAGCAACTATTTCAAGTAATGAAAATAGATTATAATGTGTATTTTTCTTATATTACCTACATGTTAGAACCTTTTTATATGTCATATCTTACATACATCATCTGCTTCAAATACAAATTGATACGCCTAGTGGGCTTAATCAGATATTTCTTTCTTTCTTTCATAAAGAAAATCTGAGGATGATCTTTCAATAATTCACCTATTTTTATTTTTATTCAAAATTTGCATATAGAAAAATAGCTGGCAGAAACTAGTAAAATGAAGGGAAAGTTTATTTTCTTAACAAAAGCTTGGTGCACTATTTAGCTATAACAGGAGAAACAGATGTTTCAGCTTTACAATACCATGTCTTGCAAAACTTCCTTCTAAACGACTATTCGTGCTCTACATGTTTTGGACTGTGTATGAAGAGCTCTGCTAACAGTCATGGGAAGCACTGCATACATTAGTAAAGCCCACATTAAGATAATTAGTGCTAAAAAAAAAAAAAAAATCAACAAGCCTATTTTCTCCCTTTATAGTATTGATTTAGTGTGGGCAAAAAATGCCAAATTTTCAATCTTGAAGATACATGTTCCACCACAGAGCAGGAGATGGAGCCAGCTTTTCCCAGTGTTTTGCTAATAAACTCTTAGATTAACCATCTCAAGGGCTAGGTAGAAGAGCCAAGCTCTACAGACTATCAACACTTAGTCTCTCTGAAGAACCTATGAACACAGAGAATGTGGACAAGAGACAAAGAAGTAAAATTCTTAATCTTTGTGGCTTGACCTACCCAAGTATTCTCTCATCAAAAATTTTCAGAATTGCTGTGGACAATACAACTGACCAGGAGGCAGTATTGAAACTGCACTGCTGCAGTGATGACTTTGCAATGGTAGCAGCTATGGGAAAATTTCTACAGTGAAAGAGGACTTTGAAGCTCATTTTGTACCATTTTATATGTGTATCTTCTAAATGGCAAATTCTGTTTTAATACATATAGTTCTCATAAGGACTCTGCAACCTTTTGCAAATCCTATGACAGGTTATACACATCATTTAACTCTTCGTGTCAGAAACTTTACCTTCTGCAGACCCAAACAATGTCAGTGTGGATACAGGCACATAACCTAATATGATTGGATTACGGCATCTTAAAAAATTACTGCCTGGTCCCTCAAGATGTCAAAGTCAGGGCAGTTTAAGGTAGCGACTTCTGTTTAGTATTAAATGTCATGCTAAGAGCATGCATGTGAACAGCTCTGAATACTCTGCAGATAGGTGGCTATTGCTAAGACACCTTACAGCTTGAGCTTATTCCCCTGGGGAAGGATCCACTGCAGACATGCATCCAAAGAGAATAACATGTCCAGCTAGAACGATTAGTATTTATTTTAGTAATACAGTTATCCAGGTTAGTTGAGGATGTCATTATTTTGCTTAGTGTTTGGAAGGGTTGCTTTAAAACCACTTGCTTTCATGCAAAGTGATAATCAGTCTAAGCACTGTAAGACTTTTATAATGGAGGGCCAACACATCTTTTTTCATTCAGTCTGCAAGAGTAAACCGAACACAGCTGTTTTACTGAAAACAACCCACTGGTATTTAAGTAGATTAACAAAATTAACTGTGAAAATCCTCTGCTATGTGAAAGCCAATAACCTGTTGGCCACAAGGAGGCAGGGCAAAGATTCAGTAAACTCAAAGAAATTGCTTTTATTTAAAAAAAAAACCCCAAAACACACAAACCCACAACAAAAAAAGACGAGCAGTAAATTAGTTCAGTCATGAAACTCTGAACTGCTAGGCAAGATAAAAAGCACTTTTCAGCCACAGTGTGTGGTTTCAGTATTGCTGTTTTATTCCAAGAGCAGCAAATATCTTAAGATATTAAACAATAGCTGATCTGGCAGCAATTTTCTGCTTCTTTTGAAGAAGCAGATCACACATGTTTCTTCTTCATCACTTCTGTGTGATGCAGAGAAAAACTCTTAACAATAAGCTTTGATAGCAATAGTGGATTTACCAACTAAAAGCAAGAAGCTGTACCGCCAGGTTCACAAGGTATTGCTCCCAAGCTAATAAATCCTGCTTCTGGGCAGCTTTGGGAGCTCTGCCTTTAACTCCCATGGCATTTCTGATTCTGGGCTAAAAGCTGGCAGAGGCAGTTAAGTGACTGTAGTCCCCTACAAAGTACCTTATGCGCAGTCCAGTACAGTGATGCCTCTCTTAACCAGAACTTTAGGACATTTCAAAATTAGTACTAACTCAAACTTCTAAACGACAATGGGGTAAAAGAGGAAAATAAAGCCAAAGTATCTTTGTTTCAGAGTTCAGTTGAAAAGAGTTAAAATTAACAGTGAAACAAAGCCTTCCACAGTAACAGCACATCACAGTCCTAGCCTATGAGTGATCCTCTGTTCTAGACAAAGTGACTTTACTCCTAGCTCTGCCACTGCATGCTACTGAGCTAGGAAATTTCAGTCCTCCATGCCTCTGTTTCCTCATCTTTTTAGCAGTTGCTTTCCTTCTTTGTGAAGCAGTATGAGGTCCATGGTTAAAAAACATGCTACAAGAACTAGTTATTATTAATGCAATTCAGATAGGGAATGCACCAGATGGCAAAATCTCCAGGATTTTAATGAACTATTGTAACAGAACATATGTAATATGACGTTATTATAACAGGCATTTAAATGTATAGTTAGTACATACAACGTGACCTGCTCTGCTCTCAGTAACTCCACTGGAATTATTTTGGATTTATGTCAGATAATACTAGGAACACAAAATAGCCCCATATGTGCAATGTGGTAAGGGTTTCATAGCAATGCTATCTTAACTATTGCCTGTCCTATTTTTATTTTTTGCTGGGGTTATTGTATTAAGTGGTCTGTTAGATTATGTTTTCTGCATTTAATTCTGAGCAGGAAGTAAAAAAATATCACCCTCATGTCAAAGACTAAAATGCCTCTGACCAAGTATCGCTTACCTATCATCATAAATAATCTGAAGCAGCAAGAACTTTTGGTTTTTTTCTCTATATTCTGTAAAAATTATGCCTTTGATGCATTTTATGCTAGACTTGCTAAGCAATTCATGCTTGTGTCAGAAAAGCCAAACATTCGGGTTCAGACTGTGAGGGTAGTAGTACCTCCTTTCTCCTACAGCATTTGAGTGCTAGACAAGATGAACTGTACGACTGGGCAAAGGTGAAAAAACAGGCCTGCAGCTCAAGCCACTGGCATCACACATTACAGTCAGAGACAGGTACCTACTTCAGTAAAAGAGAAACATGAAGATACTATCAGTATGTACAATAATTCTAGCACATCTACAATACAGACTATAAAACTCAAGTGAACTGACATTTAATATATGAGAGCCTGGAAGCAAGATATCAATTTCACATCATAAATTAGCCTTTGTGCCAGTGCCCAAAAATTTGGCTGATTACTCATTGCTTTCCCTTAGTGCTTAAGCAGTCTTTTCCAAAGTAAGACAGTTAAACCACAAAAACGTACCGTAGTGTCCACAGCCCTGACCTTCCCAGCAGGAACGTGCTTTGGAATAGGTTCTTCTACTGATATCATCATGCAGCCTTCTGCTCCAAGAGTAACTATTACGAGCTTACACCCTCTTTCTAACAGCATGTGTCCCACCTTTTCAGCATCTTCAAGGTTGCCAACTGGGATGCCCGTTAAAATTTCTGCCTGGAAAATAACCCACGCAAATGAAAATCATAATGTGACAGCATTCATTTTTGGACAACAGTTGCATTTGAAAACACTATTTAATATCTTTTTAAACTGTGTATTATAGGATGATCATGAAACCACTTCCTACGCTGATATTCAGCTATGTCTTGCTCCTCATTTGAAATCAGCACGTACTTCAGGCACAGCAGACTAATGGAGAGCAGCCTAGGCAGAGACGCAGGAGGCATGGGTTCTGTTCCAGCTTCTACGACTTGCCTGGCATGCAACACTTAGTAAAATCATATTTCTTCCACGTGCCTCAGTTTCTTCATCTGTGAAATGGACACAATGACACAGTCTTGGCAAAAGCCATTTTGCAGTCTAATGTGAAAAATGTTACACGGCACCTCGGTCACTATTGTTGGGGGATATTTATCACCAAGTGAGAAACTTTTAAAATTGTTTTTTAAATTCTCAGTGTTCAGATAGAGAGAAAACACAAGGGAAAATATCTTCAAGGGGAAAAAAAAATTGCTCAGCTCTGACAACACTGTTTACATCAATATATATTTTCAGATAAGAATACCTGAAAGTTATCTGAAGCCTTCTTTGGGCAAAGGCCCATTGCAAGATTATTATATATTTGTGTTAAGGCCATGTCCATAGGCCTATGCCAGGACTGAGACTTCTCTGTGTTGGCTCTGTACAAACACAGATAAACTCTTCTTCTAACAGATGGTGACCTTAAGTCAACTTCTCCCAGTTGGCTCTTAAAGTTAATCTCTTCTAGTTCCGCCCAACTAAGAAAAAAATTTTCCCCAAATCTGCAACGAAGACTTCAGAATCAAGCACCCTTTTCGCCACTTCATACATTTTCTTGATGGCATAGCATTGTTCAATGTCATGAACTTTTTCTTTTGGCAGGGAAAAGAACAAGAATGAAATAGGAAGAAAGGGAAGAGAAAATACTGTGTTTTATCTGAAACAATCTAGCAGGCAGTTCTCCTGCATAATACAGTATGCCTTCAATTGTAAGTAAACAGACATTCTATTTTTCTGTCTTTACTAAATCTTGTCCTGCTTGCCTGAGAAGAGGGAAGTCCTACTTTATCTTGCACTACAAGGTTGCTTCTGGATCCTGAAAAATGCAGTCTGAAGTATTTTCAGATAACCGCATAGCTTCACATAACTGGGCACAGCTTCCACACTCTTAGGGTTTATTTTCAGTGGAAAACTTACTGTAGAACCTACTGACCAGCTACACGTCCTGATCTCTGCTGCATGGGCAGCTCAGCTTCTTGGGAAACAGCTGCTGAAAGATTTCAAACTACTTTCCTCTGCAGTACTGAAACTTGAATTCATCATACATACTTCTTGATATAATGGACTGTAAACTATAGTGATGAAACAACTGCTCCATAAAGCACAGGCCATGCCTGTAGTAAAGAGAGGGAGGGCAGACAGCTGGGGACAGGAACTACTACAGCCATCCCAAAGAAAACCGCCCCCAGCCGTGAGTCAGAGCCCACTGCTCGCCACTGTCATTTCCTGTTTTCAGCCTGATCCAGGAGAGAGAAGCCACCCTTAGGCTCTGAAGGGCCAGATTATGCCAACACACTCCCTAGAGTTTATAGTATCATTAGCAGAGTACTTACTGGTTTTAATTTTCAAACTCACAGGACCAAGTTCTGCAGTCTCTACTTAGACAAATGCACAAATGATTTCAAGCATTGTTGATCTGATTGCTACAAAGCAGAATGTGGTGTGGCAGGCCTTGGTGGGTAAATTTGTGCACTGCAGGGGCAAGGTGTGGTTAACACGTACGCATAATTTAAAACTACTTTTTTTAAACGCACTGATCCCAGACAAGAACATAGTAAGCTTTAAATTAGAAGGAGGCAACTAAACCTATCCAATTTTCTCTTTGGCATGTCACCATGCCGCTCAAACTTCTCCTCTTGGAGTACAAACTATTTAAGCAAATTAAACATTTCATTTTTTAAAAGGTTACAGAAGAATTTTCAAATAAGAACATTTCAAAAAGTATTTCACAAAACCTTTTGAATGTATCTTCTTGCAAGGTCTGGAAGCAGTCAATACACCAATAATGGCTTTGGAGTGACTAAAGATAGATAATAAATAGTATAGAATATATACTATTTATAATATATAGTATATTCTTTAATAAACTGAATAGAATATATTCTAATATTCAAGCGTCTAAAGAGTCTGTGTTTCTTCATGAATTCTAAGATCTCTGGAGCACAAACTATGCATTCCTGTATTCAGAACACCTGGCACATCATGTTACAAGAATAAAAATGGATTAACACAAATGCTTGACTGAAACAGGCTAACTGAATTTTCAATGTACTTTATGAAGGGCAGTAACTCCAAACATTCTACTTATGTTGCAAAGTCTCCAGGGCAAAAGTGGATTTGGTTTTGGTAGAGAAACAGTAAAGCTAATTTGGGTTTATTTACCTGGTATTTACACTTTTGTAAACTGAGGAGCAAGGTAAATGAAGTATTTAAATATAATGTTCTTCCTAATGAAACGCACATGCTGTAAGCTTAGTGTTGTACCCCTCTTTGTGTTTACTGTGTCTCAAGTCAACAGGATTTTTTACTTGGGTAGTGAAAGAACTGTTCTGGGACTGATATGTGAAAGGTTTTGCAGAAATCTTTCTTTTCAATTATACCAATAAACCTAATTATTTTGAACAGACAGTCTGTATAAAAGTAGATCTTAACTGCTTGAAACCACTATCATCTAACTCATCTACAGCAGGATGGTAAAGCTAAAAAACACTGGAACAAGCTGGAAGAACCATAAAAGCAGCAGAAGCCAGACAGATTCTGTGCCAATAATTAGAGATTGCGGTAAATGTCAACTGATGTTAAATACTGTGGTGAGTTTTTAAGTTCCTCCCTTCAGTAGAATCTTATTTAAAAAACAAACTGTGGTACAATTGAAGGAAATAACTAATGGTTATGTAAAGAAAAAAATTAAATAACAATACTAAAAGCCTGACGTGGACATTTGCCATAGTACTGTACAAAACAGCAGAAAATTAAAAATTTTATTTTTCTGCAGTTAGCCTCATAAAACCCCTCTGTTAAATGAACCTATTAAAGCAAGAGGACATTCCACAAAATGGCTGTCAGAATAAATCTATGGCGGATATTATATAAATAATCTACACAGAATTTTCTTAATTTTGTTCACAAAAGTGGAAGAGAAATTTAACTGAAGCTTTTAATTTAACTGATATGGAGGTTCTTGGCCATAATCCTCACTAATCTTCGTTAACTCTCCGGGTCTCTTTAGACTGTGGAGTCTAGTCACAGTAAATTGACACAAACCAGCACTGCTATGGAAAAAAAATGGCCCAGCTTTTCCCTTCTACTCCTGTCCACATGGCCCATTCTCTTGTGCCAGCACAGCCATTTGTGTGGCCAGGAAACAAACTGGATTGCAAGGCAGATCTGTGTTAAAATTAACACCACCCCCAATCCCACACCACCCTCAAAAGCCAACCCAAAACAATTAACTTCTTTCAACAGCAGTACTAGTTTACACTGGCTAAAAGTGAGAATAAAACTATGATATGAACCTTTGCCAAGTGTTCCTAGCTGTGGTGCATTTGGGGCAGCCTATGGCTTACAAAGCCACTTTCAGGGAGACATTCTGGATCTTCTGCTTGGCAAGACCAAATCTGCATCACGGTGTCTAGTTTTGGGATCTCTGGCACAAGTAAGATACTGACATACTACAGCATACTACACTGGAAGGCTATCAAGACAGTCAGGGGGCCAGAGACCAGGACATACAAGAGGCTGGGAGAAGTGGGCTTGTTCAGCCTTGAGAACACAAGGCTAAGGGGAGATCTAACTGCTATCTACAGAAATGTAATGGGTGGGTATAGACAAGAAGGAGCCAGACTTTTCTTGAAGGTGTAGAGGGATAGGGCTAGAGACAACAGGCACAAGCTGGAACACGGGAAATTCCACTATTAGGACAAGGGTTTTTTAACCACGAGGGTGATGAAGCAGTGGAACAGGTGCCCAGAGGTCATGCAATCTCCATCCTCAGAAATTCAAAACTTGACTGGATAAAAGCCCTGACCAATCTGACCTAAACTGGTCATGCTTCACCAGGGTGTTGGACTAGAGACCTCTAGAGGTGTGTTCTCAACTTCTATGATCTTATGATCCTCAGCAAATATAAACTGGTGAAATAACAAGCCATGTTAATTCTTTGAGGAGCAGTCCATCATTTGGACTGCATTCGGTGCACCTAGCACAATAATAACTTTGCAAATGTTGCCAGGTACTGCTGGAACAGAAATAATAATAGGGAAGCTGTGCCAGTTTTAAGGCTAACCCATCTAAACCTATGTATGATAATTCAAAATATTTTTAATTTTAAATATTTAAACACAGTAAGCCAGTTGGCTACAAACTTGGCTTGTACCTTTGGAGATTTCTTTGACAGAACAAGAACTCAATCTCATTAATAATAACACATGTGGACAGTCCCAAAGAAGTAGTGAGACAGATTTGGTGTACAAGCAATTGCAAGATCAGGCCACAAGCCAAGCTAGTTCCAGTTGTTTCAAATTATAAAATTTTTACATATATACAGGCAGAAATACTTATCGTGCTAGAATAATTAAAACCTGATTAAAATGAATTGGCTTGAAGCTATTCCCTTCCCTCCCAAAAGTAACATCTTTCATTTTAGACTAAATATGGGAAATTTCATCGTTTCCAGCAACTGATAAAATGGGGTTTAGAACAAAGTTGGAACTAAAATATACTGTGAATTGCTGGCAACTTCTACATAATGGAACAATAGTAGCTTTCCATTACTTAAAACAGAAAAGGCAAATTCAAGAGAAGTCCTGAAATATTTTAATTCTGAAGGACCTATTTTTGTTTTGATTGCTAGAGATATCAATTATTTTTTCTTAAGAAAGACTATCCCTAGTATTAATCTTTCTATATCTAATAAGTAGTATTTTAGATGTCCTAATTGAAGACTCCAGATATAGTTTTATAAGCTTGATATTCTTTGAATCTTGTAAAAGTCAATACTGTCTCTTGATTTTGGACATGCTAACAAGAATTTTCATTATTAATACTTCTTCCAAAAATGATCTAGCCTCTAGTAATAGACAATAACGCTTAGAAGAAAACAATAGGATAGTATCTATTTTTCCGTATTATTTTTATACATCTTGCAGCTTTATTTAACAAAATTAGCAATTAACTTATATTTAGTTGTACTGCTTTTTGCCATTGAAGCCCCAAACTATTCCATTAGCATTTAATTAAATTTTTCCTAGGCCCTTCTTATTTAGATCAAGAAGTCTGATACGCATTTTACATTAGGGAGAAAGCAGTTCACAGTTTTGCATTAAAAATAGCTTGACAAAGTAAATCATGTGCTGTAACCATTTAAGAGTTTTCCTCCTCCTGAAGGGCTCCAGTATTCTTTGAACGAAGAAGCAGCTGTTCTTCAACACGTTTAGGACCAAATTGAAATCGCTGATGTGCAATATATTTTGGTTGCTAACCTGCAGGGCTATGTAATTGCAGGCTCTCACTAAATAAGAAAAACAACACATGAACTGTATTGACATTGTGGTTGTGCCTAGAGCCATACTGCAGCAAAGAATCACACAAATACGTGGGAAAAAAATGGTAAGTATTCCAAAGAGCTCATCTTGTATAGGGTCTTTTAAACATTTTTTATCTTTTTCAACATTTATAGATGACTGAAAAGAACAACCATTGGTTTTCACTAAGATGACATTGGATACATTTATTTTTCATTAGAAGAATTAAGGGACTGGAGAACTAGCACATTCCTGCACAAACCTCAAGGATTAGGCTGTGCTACATCTGGGAATTAACAAACTAGTCTCAACAAGTTTGATCTTTCTGGGAAAAGATAAAACTGAACTACAGGGTAAGCAAAGAAAGAACTGATAACCTTGCAAGATTTGTTCTGAGTTTTTTTTGTTCATGAACCACATAAAAAGAAAGTAATGTCAGACATAAAAAAAATTTATTATTGCAACAAGCAAGAGTGAAAAGAACAGCTTGTGAAGAGCCTTCTAGACAAACTAATGGTAGATAATTCACTGATAGTATAATTTTGTTTGCTTCTCTCTAGCACATAAATCCATAAGAACAAGCTGTGCTTTTATACTACAGACTGCATGTGATTTCATTAAATCCTAAAGCATTTAAAGAAGGATAGAGTGTTGTATTTGATACTTGCATGTTTGGGTACCAACATCCCATGGCTGTCTGAAACTATAGCTGACATTTAAAAACTTTTATTCTGTGAAAAAGTCATTGCAGATCAAAATGCCTGACCTTCATAGCAGTAAATAACAGAACCTTCTGTCTAAGTAATAATTCAGCTAATCACAAGAACTACCCCTTTTTCTCATCTGTAACAAAACAAACACTCCACATAGTGTGTGAGATGTCCTAAGCTAAATGGCTAGTGTTCAGTTCTACAGCTAACATAATCTTCTGTTACAAACATATCATTCACATAATATCCACAAACCACAGGATTTTATCATTTAAAGGTATTTCTTGGTGAGCAAGAAAGATAAGGATATTTTGGTAAAACTGTATGATAAATACTTGCAAGTTTAAACAACTAAGAAAGCCAAACCAAGCAATAATTTAAAAAAAAAAAAAATCAGTGTAAATTTAATCTTGTCTTAGCATATGTCTGTGTTAGAAACAATGTTGTAGAAGTAGTTGAACTGGAGATCTCTAAAGAGTTCATCTTTAAACCCGACAATTTACTGACTATCTAAAAGACTTAGTAAAGATAAAGTAGAAATACACTATTTTTTTTCTAGCAGTACCTAAAAATCCCAAATAAAAAGGGGTAAAGCTGGAAAATAAAAAGGTTTTTTGGCTTAAAGGAACTTATTTGAGACTTAGAAAAACCAAGTAGGAGGGACAACAGAGCTGGAATGGAACATCTCAGGAAGGCAGTTGTAAGCAGCACATCCAATAGATCTGGCCACAGAGAATAATAATTTTAAAAATCCATAAAATAAGAATGGTCATAGTAGCTCAGAGCAAAGATCCATCTTATCCAATTGCTCTTTTCTGACTGTGATTGCGAGTAGATACTAAAAGAAATAATAATAAAAAAAAATCATAAAAAGATCTCTTCCCAGTATATATTCTGGATCATCAAAGTCTTAGGTACTTCCTGATTTAAGAAGATGAAGGAAATGCAGATGTAGTTGGTTGAATGGATGAAATTTTAAAAATCAGAATTATCTTTAAGATTTTCAGAATTAGCTTATTGCTTTTAAGTGCCATACAGAGATGTGACTGGTAACCTTTATTTGGGTATGTAAACATTTATATCTCTATCAAACTTCTCAAGTGCATACATTACAGTGATCTGAAATTAAAGAGAGTCATGAAAGAAAACAGAAAACAGATGGCATATGAATATATAACAATTACTAAAAAAACAACTTTCAAACTTGTAACATAAGAAAAACAAATGCTTCATTTTTCCTCTTTTCTCAGCAAAAACAAAGGAACAATGGCAATAGTTCATCCCTGAAAATCAATTCAATAACAAATCAGACATACAGAGAGGATGAAATCAAACATAATTGATTATTACAGTTGTGCTAATTTAATTGATTTCATTGCAAAGTATGAAAAGGTTATTGTTAAAAGCAAAAGTATTTATATGCCATTCTTGTCCTCAGAATATGCTGTAGGAGTTCCACACTTGGATGTGTGCTCCCATGATATGGCTGGCAGGAACTTCCACAGGTCTACCATTTCCATAAATTCAGAAGAGATAAACCTCCTCAACAGTAGAGAGCGTATTTCTGTGCCTGACTGTGCATACAGTGATCTCAGCTATCTTCAGATGGTAATTACTTTTTAAAAGAAAATAGCAGAAAAGAATGCAAACTGTACCCCCAGCTCTGCAGGAAAGGTAGATGAGTGAGCAGGGATCTATTATAATTATACACCTGTATTTCTTGTTCTCCAAATAGAAGTAATTTTCTTTTCTCCATGTGGTGGTAATAATAATTCACCCTGGCTCCAGCAAGCTAAACTTCTCAAAGAATGTCTCTTTCAAGAGTGTCCTCTAGCAATAAAGTATAACAAAGGGAAAACTTTAACATGTGTGTTGCAAAGAGCAATGAGAGAAAAGTCAGGAATAGACAAGTAATGAAAACCAAAGTTTTGTTTCTAACATATGGGGGATAAGTTTTTGCAGGGGAAAAAAAAAGTAACTAGTGACATTATGAAAAAAGCAAACAACAAATGACATTTACTAAATTGGTGGGAAAGTATGGGTGTTCTCAGCCCAAAATGTGTGCCGTCGCACCGTTTAGCCAATCCAGGGGCATAGTCCAGGCATAAGTGCTTTCTGAAAGCATGAAGAAAACACCATATGGGTGTCCTGCAAGTCCCCTGAACAAGAATAAATACTTTGCCTTAGCATTCTCTTCATCACATATAACTGAGTTCTGGTAGCTGTTAGACAGTGTCTAAGCCACAGATGATATCACACTGACAGTGACACTGGAACCTTTGCCTTCCAGAACTCTGAGGAGCCATGGCATCTCCCACCTTGCTATTTTGCTAATTTCTGAATGCTCTGGAGTATCTGAACTTGGCAGACACATACTAAAACATCCGATAATAAAATTCAGATGTCCATTTCGGTTACTTAAACTGACCCTTAAATGCTAGAAGACTCATGAACTGAGAACTTCTGATATGGTTTGTGATAGTTTTAACAGAAATTTCAAAAGAGGGTAACTGAGTCTTGAGGGTAATTAAATCTTGAAGATCTTACTTTGACAGACATTGTCATCAGACAAAAAAAATCCTCTAAGTAGGGCTATGCTTTTCTCTTAGCTCTTCCCCCTCCTCTCAACCCAAAGGTATCATGTTCATTGCAGAAACCATGTTTGTTGGAGGTAACTTTAACTATGATCAAGGCATGGCTTCTATCCACTAGGTTGCTTCTCCCACATTCTTGTTTATATAAAGAGAGGGTGAGGGGAAGGAACACAGCATGCATAATTCTAATAAATAGGAAATTTAAACAAAGGCCTTATGAGATGAGCTTAATTTGTCTCTTGTGACAAAAATAATTTCCTTCTGGAGAAATAATACACTTGAATGAGACGAGAGGGAAAGGAGGGGGAAAAAAGGGGGGAAAACATACAGTTGAAGGGCTAGAGAAACAGATTCATTGAAAACAGATCTGACAGGAAGAGGCACATAAAGCTACTATTTACCATCAAGTGCAGCATGCACGCATCACCTCCTGGCAAGCGACTTTAAAACTGTCAGAACACTATGGCTAGCGTATTCCTGCTAATCATATCAAGGGACCACAGAACAAGGACAAGGATCTATTTTAATATTTACCACTCAGTGATAACATTTCAAAAGTGTCCTTTTATGGATTTGTTTTACTCGTCTACTTGTAAGGAAGGCTGGACACAACTTTTCTGCTGAAAACAATTAATTTCATTTTGAGTGCAGTCTAAAGGTACTGTAGGGTACTCCTCTTTTTAGGTCAGGGATCAAACTTGTCACCTCCAAAAGTCCTGTGTAAGAGGAACATGCCTCAGTTCTTCTGCTCCCTATTCTGCATTTCTGAGAACAGAATCCCTCTGAAACTTTACTGCTTAAGACTTCTTCTTTAACATGACATTTGATCATTACCTCAGTTTCATTGCAGCAGAAGATATCAGAATGGGTATAAAATTGTGGATCTAGGTCAGGAAGGGCTGGAGCTGGATTAAATAATGTCTTAACTGAAAAAAAGAAAAAAAAAGAAAAGTCTAAATGTCTAATGTTTTAGATTCATAAACCATCACCATTATGGTTAATTCACAGCCCAAAATATTTATTATTAACACACAAATAGCTCCCAGTTTCTGTGTTGTCATTTTATAGAACTGCTAAATGTTTTATTTATTATAGTAAAGTTCCCTTCTAATTCATGTGCAGGCACCTGTCACGATGGGAACATGACAGAAAAGTAAAAAAAAGGGGGGGGGGGGAAGCCTTAGATGGTAATGCAATTTGTTTAACTGATGATGCTTCTTCCAGGATTTTAATAAGTTTTACAAGAACTGGTTTAGTTCTAGAATTTTTTCAGTGTTGTTATCTGCATTCTGTACATGAAGAAACAGGGGTATGGAGTAATGAAGGGCATGTCCAGACAAGGAGTTAAACATGCTTCTGAATGTGTTACCTAACTTGTTCAAACTGCCACATTATAAAACTGTAGTGTAGACAAGGCACTGTATATTTTTAATATGCTATCTGGCAGAGCTAGACTTAAACTTAACACGTGGTAGAATATGTTAGTTAACCTAACTTTAAACTGTAGCCTAAGGCCCCGTGTAACAGCAGAAAAGGTTTGTCATGAGGACAGTATAAGTGACTTACTCACTGTTAACACAGGAAGTCTGCAGACTTGGTTTCTCACTTGCCAAATTTATGATTAATACTTTTGTGTCTTAACCACAAGGCCATCATTTTTATATAAAGCACACTCTCTTACTTCAGAATGATCAAACCTTTCAACTCAGATGCCTAAATTTTCAGTCCTAAACACATATTTAGACCCTAAACTACAGTGCATAATATTCAGACACCCTGAACGCTTCTGAGTCCCAGTTAATGCCCTAAAAAAGATGCACAGACTTCTAAAATCTGAGTACCAAGAAGCTTAGAAGATGACCTTCTTGATTAACACTCTGAAAGTTTTAGCCTTTGACTGTACAACTTCATCATGCCTCTCTACCTGCCTCATTAAAAAGAGTATTAAAGTGACAAAGACGTTTACTCAGAAGTTAGAAAATGCCAGGATTAGGATTTCCAATGAAATCTTAATTTGGCTCCCTTATATTATTACAATACAGTATGTATTATAATAAACTCTTTTAATTATATGATCAAATACCACTGAAAAACAGCATGTGATCATATAATTAAAGACTGCAACATAATACATATGCAGAAAGGAGACAAATTAAGGTTTCACAGGCATCCTTAACTCTTACATTTCCTATTTTCTGAATTGCAACTGTAATAAATTTTTTTTTTAAACACAAATCATCAAGGTATACTTTTCTAGGCAACAAACAAACAAACAAACAGCACATATTAGAAAACAAACTGTCACGTGGTATCGTACCGACATACACATGGGTCAGAAGCAGCACTGGAAGTGCTCCAGCTTGGATTTTAAGTAATAGAGACTCATCATGAACAGGGCGTAATACATGACTATTAGTTTGCTCCCATATTTAATATCTGCAGACCAGGGGGAAATAGAAGAACCCTAAAATTCTCTTTCAGGCTGTGAAGAGCATGGCTTGTGAACAGGGTAATCTGTTTGGTCTCTCTGAGGAACACCAAATTATTTTCTGCCCAAATTCTTTCTCTCCATTTGCCAAGATCCATTCTCCTCACCTAGTTTCCATTCTTCATGCTTCCCTGCATAGGCACTATGCAATAGTAACGTTTTCCACTCAAATTTCATCACATTGTATCTCTTTTGCTCCCCCTCCTACACTTTCTTTTTCCCACTGCCAGTACCCACAGCCTACTCCCTGATTCTACCTCCATATTCCAATCTCTATTCAACAAATCCTATTCTCTGTTCCAATTTTGCTCCCTTTTTGGTTTCTCTCTTCCTTCTTCCTCTGCCACCCCCAAAATCAAGCAAATTCCTCCTACGCTTCTCTTGTCTGAAACGTACTCTCCCTCCCCAGGACTCCCATCCAGCTTTGTCTCTGTATTCAAATCAAGCAAGCTCCAGCTCTGTACTTCCTGGGCCCACAAGAGATCTTTAACAGTATAAAAGAAATTGCCTAAAACCAGACTCAGGAATTACACTGGAAGTCATGCTGCCCACATGGACAACTGCCTACGTGGACAGACTCTCAGGGGAAGCTAGCTGTGAAGCTCTAACAATTTTCCAAAGTCTCTGTGAAAGGTAGTTATTTTCTAAAGGCAGATAATACAGTAAAAACCAGGCAGATTTCCATACTGTTGTAAAGGCTTATCTTTAAAAGAAAGCTCCCTTCCTATCAAGTCTTAAGTAAATTTTAAGGTAGCCAGTATTTATAATTTAAAAGAGGGTAGGGTGGGAGGCATTTCCCATTGCCTGGTTTCCGCAGCCACTATGCTTTGGCAGAAATTACAAGTTTAACCACAAACAAACAGCTGATATGAAAAACTGCAGCCCAACATTAAACAGTTAAAGCACCTGAAAAAGAGATCCTTTACTTGCAAGTGACATGGAACTTTAATAACTGATGCTGGTTCCAGCCCATTCTTCACTACAGTATTAACAGGCTGGATGTTATCAGCCATCTTTTATGGAGTCTGTCATTACAGAAGTCCAAAAATTGCTTTACAGCCTTTGATATACAATAACATTTTGCCCATCAATGAAGTGGTCCCCCTCTTGGAAGCAGCAGCAGCTTCCCAGCATGTGGCCATTAAAAACCTAGAATTTCCTAGTCAGATTTCCACTACAATTTATACTCACTTCATAAAACTATTCACAACCCTCCCTCCTTTCCTTCCCTGCCTTCCATCCTTCTCCCCAAGATTGTTACAAGATCTTTAACAATCAGTGCCACAACGAGAGGATGTCAGAACATGAGATGTCCCTCTCTAGCTTAAAGATCCAGGTGTTGTTCACTGAACAGAAGCAAAGGGTTCTTGTCTGTGTGTCCACACTCTTTCTCCATCTTATTGTTTCTTTCTTTCAGTAAGAATGAAGAAAAACAAGCAAAAAAAACCTTGAAACAGAGGTTTGAGGCATCTGGGTATGCATCTGGTTTAAACAAAAATAGTCTAGTGCACATCCTAACATGCAGTACTGCATTAAACATGAGGGTATTGCAGGCTAAAAGAAGGGAAATTGCATTAACAATTTACAGTTGGCTAAGGATAGATTTTTACAGTGCTACAAACTCAGCTGTTTACTTAGATCTGACTGCACATGACATTTGAACATGTGTAGCCTATTGCTTTAAAGCAGAAGCAACCAAAGCCTTCCTGATAGGAGCTGCACAGATTCCAGACTGCCAGCACAGAACTACAGCTGGCCCACAGTTAACTACTATCTCTTCTTGATATATTGTGCTGTCTACAGTTGCTAAATGCTGGCATGCCTGTTCCATGTATCAGGTTTGGATTTTCTTAAACTGCCTTTAAAAAATACTATATTTTCTTCTGTCACAACCTGGCATCTTGCCATATGAGGGTGACAAAAGTGTGAAGCATCTTACCAAAACTATGCAGAGTTAGAAGTAGACAAAATAAATCATGGATATTGACTCATGACTCAACTATAGTCCATTAACCACTAGATTAAGAATGCTTTTATCCATTTCATAAAGCATAATGAAAATATATAGCAGGCTCTGTTCCCTGCTCATATATTTAAGCATTCCAGGTGCTACTCAGTTTTCTGAGGCTTTTACTTTTTAATTAGATTTGCATGAACCCAGTTTTGACATTTCAAACAGAAGTGAAAATAATTTTTCCGCATGCACAGTTCTGTTTACAGTTTATAACTATGACCGCCACAGTTTCAGAGCCACTCTCTCCCAGCCTTGCATCTAACATAACTGCTTAAAATCAACACAAAGTACATGATCATGATGTATAACGTTCTGCCACATTTGACATCTCCACTAGTGTGTGAACGCTAGTGATCACAACAGGTGCATGACAGAGCTCAGTGCGGAAGGAGGACTGAAGAATCAACAATCCTGACATGCTATGATCTACTGGAGCAAGCCTGGGCCCAGCTGCAAGGAACCAGTTAGTTCTGATCCCAGTTCCATCCCTGACCTGCTGCCCATGATTGACCATATTATTAGCTGTCCCCTCCCAGTCTTATATTCTGGATAGACAAGAACATATTTTTAATCTCATATAGATGCCTCACTTGCATAATTATTTATATAGTGTTCAAATACAGCAGTAATTGTGCTTGAGTAACTGAAGGCATTACAGGCACTTGGAACAACAAATCCTCATGTCAGTAGAGAAACCCCATCCTGTTCAAGCAAGATGTCACCTTTTATCTACATATATGCTTCACTGAAGGAAAAACGGCCTACATTTAAAAGTACAGCACAGTAACAATTTACTAATAATTTCACAGATGATGCCTCTGTCTACTCAATGGCAGCATGCCAAGTCACACTCTAAGAATTCTGGTTAAGAAGAAAAAGCTTTTTTTTTTTTACTTTAAGGATGTTAACTTCTGTACAAAAAAAACACAGCCATACCTACTGCTACACTGGGAGAACAAGGGCATAAAATCTGTTTTTGAGGTCATTTAATTTACTCTACTCTGTGTGGAACTCTACTGACTTGCATTCATTATGCTTGTTCTGCTCTGGAGTAATACCAGAGTCAGGCCCATAGTTCCTGACCTAACAACATTATACTGCATGTAGTCACAGCATGAAAATAGGAGGAAAGGCAGCACCAGACATATACGGGCCGATTATAAGCGTATGGGTTGACTTGCCATTCAAGGTAAACACTGAAAAAATTTAAAACTGAATTCAGTTTTCATTAGCATAGCATGAATTTGTTGGTTATTGTTTCATTTCTAGATAAAACTAGTATGTAAGAAACCAGAATAGACCACAGAATCTTTATTTAGAAAGCACGGTAAAGAATATTTGTCATGCAACACAAATGAGGGAGATGGAATGGCTTATGTTAAATTACCTCCACTGGCACGTGCCATTTTCAGAGCTTCAAGAGAAACAGCAGGGGTTATTTCTAGCTGGCAAACAACCACTTTGGCTTTACAGATGACATCAGAAGCCCTCTTCAGGTCTTCAAAATTTAAAAGCAGGTTGGCTCCCGGGACTATGACAATAACGTTCTGTCCTAAAGAGAAGATATTGTGGTTTTTACATTAACTTTTGCAATAAAGTATGTAAAATAATTCCTTACTTTTCTACAATAAATTTCAGATGAGTATTTCAATTTGCTTTCCAAAAACCCCCCACTAAAAATGTATGCATTGCTGAAATTTTCAAATATCCAAAGATTTCAGGAGATAATCAAAAAGTTCGATGGACACTGCACAACAAATGCAGTATATATTTTTGGGGGAAGTCATGTATGGGCTTTCCTCAGACTTATTTTTGTGTTTTCTGTGAAGCACTGTACTAGTAACAGTGAAGATGGGGGACATACGCTAAGGCTGACATTTGCATTTTCCTAAAAAAATTCCAGCAGCCCTTGGAAGAGAAAAGCATCAATGTGATTACTGAGTTCATATGCCAAAAATGCCATAAAAATTTTAATTCTCCCATCATCCGGGAAGAGAGAATATTTCACACACTTATGAAAATGATGCATGTTCTTTGAACTTCAGAGAAGCAGGCTTGATCCATTTACCTGCGACACTTCAAGTTAGAGCCCATAAACATCATGAAAACCAGAATCAGCTTGCCACCAGAACCAGCAAGGTAATTCCTGTGTCTAAGAAAAGTTTTATCATAAGTGAGTAAAGAAGGTGGGTGACAGATTCTTCTGCACTTAAAGCTGGCCAGCAGAAGGGTCTAAGCAAAGCTATACGTGCGGAAGCACAGCAGTATCTCAAAGCATGTCTAAGATCCTTTTCATTCTTGTTTGTTTTACAGTTAGGTGAGGAGGTTCATTTACACAGGTTCCAAATATTCTTTTGTTTTTCTTCAGACATGCAAGTTGCTTTCTTTTATTGCAGTTTCTTTCTTTAATTCTTTCTTTTTTTTTTTAATCTCTGTTACAACACCTAGAGACCTTCAGGCATGGGTGCCTTCAAATTAAAATTTATTATTAATCATTCAGGTATTAAATTCAATAAGTCAGTTGTTCCTTGATTTACAGGCTCAGCCCGCCCCCGCTGAAGATTCCTTTAAGGACTGCCAATCATTAAAGGCTACCAATTCTGCAATGAACTGAATTACTCTGTAAATAAATATTTATGTTTTTAAATACATTATTTTTGTTGAATGCGACTTCAAAGTCCTTTGAATAAGAACTGTGCAAAGCTTGCCTCCCTAAATATGTTCTGAAAAGAAAGCAGGACAATGGAAAGAATAATATAGTGATCTCAGAGGGAGGGGCCCAAGCTTTCCAAAGCAATTCTGCTGTCAATGGTTTGGTACAGAACAGCTGCATATGAAAAGCAAAACCTCAGCATTTAAAGCCAACGCCCTGCTTTTCAACAGACAATGATGGGCATCTCGGATAAAAAAAAAAAAAAAAAAAAAAAAAAAAAAAAAAGAAACAACCTTCTGCAACAAGTAAATGCTGTCAAAGTTATCTGGATCTTGTTGAGGAAAGATTCAAAGGCAAATTGCACCTATTTTGCCAAGCATATATTTTGAAAGCTTATAGGGTGCAGCAGCACAAACAGTAAAAGGCAGGGAATAAGTAGATAAGTAGTACAAAAATGTATTTCGTTTCTGCCTGGACTCTGTGCTACCTAGAATCTCAGACTCTATCCACATGTCTTGCTGCATTATCTTGCTGAACTATTTAGCTGTACTGACATGTATATTATTATTAGACTTTAGAGCTAATGGCCCAAGGGGATAAGGAAGGCTGTTTGTTTAAACCCACATGTGCAAATTCAAGGTAGCCCATGCTGCACTGGATCACAGTCAGAAGCTTTTCTTTGTAACTACAAAAGGTCAGAGACTTAAAGTCTGCTTTCAATCCTGCCAGGGAAATGCAGTACCTACTGCAGTGTAACAGTCCGGACAGGCTTAACGCAAGCTTTAGAGAAAAAGCCACATTCTGTTCTTAGCTACATATACCACACTAACTGCGAATGACAGCAGTCACCACAAACTTACACCAGCGTGCATGAAAGCAGAAACTGGACCCATGCACTCACAATTAATACCAGAATTTTTTATTACTAGCAACCATTTTGTTGAAAGCAATTATTTCTTGCCAGGGAAATCAGATGGGAAATCAGCACCAGGGACAACAGAGTTAAAGACAGATGGCAAAGAGGGGTGGGATTCATCTTGTCCAACATTAACTAATTGTTAAAGTTTAAAAAAAAAATAAAATTCTACGTTCTAGAAAATTCTAAGAAAACTGATTTCTAAAAATTAGTTTTCTAAGTTCCTTCAACAAGGAGGAGAGACAAGTATTTTCAGAATTGTTTTAATCTTAGGTATCTTAGGCATCTGAGAAGAAAATAAACTGTTGTCTGGAAATGCCTGTGAATCTCTGTTAACTCTAGGTGAAGCCTTAAGCCATACACCTAGCTTTGAAACAGCTCAAGTGAGGTAAAATGTTGCCCACACTAAGAATTAGAAAAATGCACTTGCTGCATTACAGTTAATTCTAACATATCATTACTTAGACTAAAAATTCTCAGTTTTGATGGGAGCATCTACACAATTTTAAGTTTTGCAGACATCAGCTAAAATATTAGGGGCCACATTCACAGTTGCTGTAAGCTAGAACTGCTAAATGAAGCTGATAAACTTGTGTAAGCTTACACCAGATGGGGATTGGGTCCAATCAATACTTAAAACAGTGTGAATGCTGCATATGTAAATACTGTCCTCAGTTGGGCTTCTAAACCTGCTGCTGTCACTTCTTAGAAAGATGGGTAACTCAAGCTAGATTTTTTTACAAGTGTCATTTTATAGATGGCACCAGATGAGAAGTGCCAGTGTAAGAATCAAAGGCAAACCAGTAAACACCATGGTGCAATAACTCTCAATTTTTAAAATGGGATGACGAGACTAAAAGCCATCAGTAGTGCTTAGAACTCACCAAAATCTCAAACAATGCAATTATAACAATAGCTGCAGAGCTTCTGCATAATAATTCATAGGGAAAAAAGATTATATTTGTGACCAGAAAAGAGTATTACAAGAAAAACATTTGCTGCCAAATCACACAGTTCATTAATATGAGGGCAAGTTTTGGGTGTGTCATGGTATCATAATTTCTATGCAGTTACTTGGTAGGAGCATTGAATAGTCTTGTACACAAAACATTCATGATGAATGTCAACACATAGAAATTCAGTAAAAATTCAGGTGACATTTCTTTATAATGCTGAAGATTCAAAACAAAGATTTTCTCTTTGGAAAGTATAATTCAAACAAGCTGGCATGTGTATTCTAAGCTTGCCTTGTTTATTTAGCCTTATCTAAATATATATTTTGAATGTTTTTTTACTAGTAGTGCTTTGGTATTGAAGGTACACTCTCTTGCAAAATAATGCCTATTCACTGTTCATGAATGATTAATAATTTTATCGTAAAGTCAGCACAATGCCTATCTCAAGTGAGGGTTATCTCCCAGTGTTCTGTGTTAGGTGAGCTTTAAGTTCTAACTTGCAATAATCAAGAGCACTTTAATCATGACCTGCCAACCTCTGTTGTCCTTCCACTGAATTTTTGCTACGAACACGGAAGTTGTCAGACTGGTCAACTCAGGGCAGCTTAATGGCGCCGTCAACAGTAAGTACCAGATATGGACCAATGCAATAAATTTCACAGGTGATCATGTAAAAAGTTGCCCATAAAGAACTTTTTTCCTCCCTATGTGTGTACGCAAAAGTACAACACACATCACTTTATGGGGTTCTTACCATTCAATAGCACACTGTTGGCAGAAGGTGTGCTAAGTGACAGAGCTAGTGGAAAGAAGGCAGGCTGAAAATGGAAACAAAAGCTGGGGCTCACAGTGGTGCGATGCACCTCAAAGAAAATGTGTTAAGAAAAGCAGCTGCATGTACCAGCTATTCTCCTTAAAAGAGAAAGTATGGATTTGAAGTGTACAGGGTCCTGGTAAACTTAATCTTGTGTTTAGTCAAAACCTATCTGAAGAGGGAGTTGCATAAAAGAGAACAACTGAAAGGAGCACAAGGTTCCAGAAAAAGATCTCTGCACAGATTTCTGAGACCAGCCCAGAGGGAACCTTTGCACATCTCTGCGTTGCACATTTTCCAGTGCAGCCCTATAAACATCTCTGCACCATTTTACATTAAAGCAGGGAGGAGTTTCTTTTTTTGAAACTACACTGAATTGTCCCAGAATATAATGCAGCTTGGAGAATATCAAATGTGCCTGATAAATTTCAAATTTTTAGCACTTTACCAATTATGATAATGGATGAGTGATAGCTGTGCAATTCAGTAACCAGCAAAAATCTTCCCAGAAATTCAGCATCACCAGCTAGACAGACACAGATAACCTCAGGGAAAGTTTACTTTCTTTTCCTCTGCCTTCACTCATCCATCGCAGTCTGCTTCTTCTACTTGAGTATCTCTCCTACTTCTGCCTGGGATTTTACTCAGTTGGTTGGAGTTGGTATTTTCCCCAAGTATCGGTACTTGTAAACAACTGTAAGATGACATGCAGGTTAGGTGTGTGAAAACACAGCAATTAAAACTTGGTGATTTAAAGAGATGATACCTATGTTTTGTATTTGTCCCTCGTTGTCTTAACACAAAAAAACCATCACCACCCCCAACTTCAAATGATTCCCTTTCAGGTATAATTTGAATTAGCAGAAACCACTTTACATCAGTGTATTGAATGCTGTGGTGTTTCAGCTATGCCAGCACAACTACTGTGGTAAAACATGCATGTGTAGACAAGCCCTTTGAAAAGTGCTGTAAAACCTGTTTAGGTCAAATCAGCCAGGTTTCTACAGGAAAAAAAATATTGTCTCTTGTAACAGCAAAGCACATAAGTACTGCTATTTTATTGCAATTTACTCAATTTAGGCGCCAGATGGTTTTAGAGAGAAGTAACAACCAGAACCATTATCAATTCTGTGCATCTGTTTGCTTTATAGCATAGTTCTGACCAGGTTTGCTCTTCTACTAGATTTTAAATGAAATCTGAGGCCAGTGGTAACTTAGTTTAGGATTTTTCAGTTTCTGAAAGAAACTACCTGACATTATGCATTACTCATCTCAATACATGAATCACAGGACTACCAAAGACCATTCACATTGACACTAAAATGCAAAATATCCTTCTGTGAACCTCATGGCACTGAACAGTTTCCCCTTCCCAGTGCTTATAATGGTTTCAGATCCACAAGATGGTTTTATTCCTTATCCTTCAGAAAAATTTATGGTGGTATAATTTTAACAGGTCATCCTCTGTTCATTCGGATTTAGACCATGTTTATCTTAGTGGGCCATGCATATGAATTGGGAAGTAATAAGACTGTTTCTTATCCAACTATTCTGGACAGCAAACCTAGTGCAAAACACAGTTACATGTACAAAACTGTGATGTCTGGGAGCGCGCTGCTGTATTCTCACTGTCTCTCCTATATACAATGGCCAGAGTAGTGACTGTATGTGGCATAAGAAAGACGTTCTTAATAGTTACTGTGATAATTTACCTGCTGATCCAAACCGAGACAAGGAGGTGGAAGTTAGAGACAGGTATCTAGTTTACTCAATGTATTACAGCTACCTTCTGAATTAGAGTTGTCATGCAAGGCTTGGATTAATCTTACTTAGGGAAAATTAAACTCACATCTCGAACTAATTTGCCTAGTTTTCCTGAATGTTCCTGTGTAGACTTGCCTTTAGTCACAGTTCCTTCCCAGGTTTGCTCCTGGAGTGAATAGTCATGTTTCCTTTACCATTTTGAGCTGTAGCCCAATGTACTACCATCAGGTTACACAGGAACTTGTTAAGTTGATGTGTCAGCTAAGCTGTGGTAACTGTTCAAATGAAGCCTCTTATATGCACCAAAAGTGAACTAATCCAGCCACACTTAATTTGTTAGGTTTGCATAAACATTATCTGTCCTGAGCTCTAAATTTTCATCCAGACACATGTATTTCTCCTAAGACCTCTCAATAACACAAGTTGCCTGAGGAAAAGATAAACAGAAAGTTTTCAGAGGATAATTTAGCAGTCCTGAAAAAGACTCTGAAAATAAGCCAAGTGTCCTGCAATATGACAGTAAAGGCGCAGGCTAAGGAAAATTAACACAGAAAAAACAAATATGCCATTTCACTGTGTATGTATCACTGCAGATACAACCTGGGATCAAGAATTGTGGTAATATTACAAGATCAACATAAATATACTAAGGACAATTCCTTTTCCTGATTCAGGGCATAATGACTCAGTGTGCTCAGGAGGCAAACCCTCTCCTCCCAGTAAAAGTGCTTGATAAGTTGTGGTGGAAAAAGGAGAGCTTTAACCTTCTGCTGCACTGTGTGTTCTGGCCAATGTAAAACTAGATAAATCAGCTGACTGACAAAATTATGGCTATCACACTGCTAATCTAAGCCTTTTACACTGCTGTTTTTAGGTACCTTATCCTACAACATTGCCTGTTATAAAAGGAAGTGCAACAATGAGTGAATAATGATGGAAAAAATGGAAGATGTAGAAAAAAATAATTCCACAATTAACAGTGACAAGGCAAAGGTTTCTTTTATGGCTGTAGAGGCAGAACAAAGAGGACAATTCAGAGTAGAAATGTGTACCTTCACTGTTGACAATTATTGAAGCAGTTCCAGTAGCAGCATCTGCAGTCTGACCTACAAATGCTAAGAAAGGGAAAAGTTACAGCATGCATTCGTTCAATACTTTACTTTCAACCAATAGCATGTGATGCAGTTTAATTGAATTAAATCTAAAATGAACCCATAACCTCCAGCAATTTAAAAATGCTAATTACTCTTTCATGTGCAACAATGCCAGAGAAGCTAACAACAACAAAAAGTGTTAATTTACACCCACAAAACAGAAATGCGAATCCAACATTCTTTAATTTGGCTACATCACTGCTTTAGAGAAAGCATGCTATTTATACAGACTTCTCAGGCACTCTACTCCTACATGGAAGTATTTCTTTTATCCAATAAAACAATAGAGTCAAGGCTGGAGAAAACAAAAATATTAAAACAACACCGCATTTAATTCCATGTAGATTTGCATTTCAGCAGTAATATTAACATGTGCTACGAAGGCAGTGGTGAGGCTGTATGTTTCCTCTTTGGATTATTATTCAGATAAATTAACGAGCAGTGAGGCTGGCAGCACTGTCTATTATAAAGATTGTTCCATACATTAAACTATAAGAATCTGTTTTCAGCTGTCAGCAAATTTGTCAAATGTTAACCAGTGGTCCGAAACTTTCTATGACAGGTGGGGTTTTTTTTAAGGTAAAACTGTAGTAGAAAACTGTCAAAAAAGTTGAGAGTTATTTTTCCCAAGAAATGTGTTTGAGAAAAATCTACTGTTTTGTTTAAGAAACTCTGGTGACCATTTGTTTGAGAGGCTCTGGTGTTCTAATATTTTAGAACATGGACTTGATGCTGGGTGAAAGTTGGCTTTTCTCTTGTGCCAATTTAAAAATCTGCTCAAATTTGAACAAAGCTGAAAAAAATACACAACATCATGCTCATTAAGTATTGCAGGTACTCGCCCTGGAGGTACTCTTATCTAACTCAGAGTTACAAGGGTCAGAGCAGAACTTTCCTTGCAATTATAGCTTCTTTTCACCACAAGTTAGGTTGGCACACTAGAATTGAAAGCAGAGAACTTGTGTCTTCTGTGCTCTCAGTGCTCTTCCTGCAGAAAATAAGTAGTACCAGCAGCAAGCTGCTCGGTTCAAATGTGAGAGAGAGATAGAGAGTAACACATCAGTAAAGGTTTAAATGGTCTGAGCAGCACTGGTAGCTGGTAAGTTGTGGAGCACAGGAAGACTGGGAAAAGGGAAAATTACAAAACAGATTGAAATTGGAAAGAAAAAGGGTAAGGTGGTATGTTAGGAAACAGAAGAGCAATGTAAACAATGCAGGCATATGACAAGGATCCAGGATATGCAAGTTGGCAGAACTGCATTACGGTAAGGATATTCATCCAGTACCCAGCATCCTTATGTATAACAACAGGGATAGGCTTGACAGTGATTAAACTGAGATGAAAAGCCAGGGACTGAAATAAGACAGTCCTAAGCAAAAAGGTCTGTGCACACTGAATCACCTCTGGAATCATCTTGGAATGCAAGGTGGGATCCTGGCCAGCCTCACCAGCAGTACATCCTATCTTCCTCCAGGGCTGATCAGTGTAGGGGATGGCAATCTAGCACCATACTGAGATATTTTTAACTCAATCAGCAGAAATCGGTACCTTAGACCTAAACATTCCAACCTTTCAACTGATCTATCTGGGTATCAGTGAAGTGCAATATGATGAAATTGATGAAATTTTTTCCTACACTTTTCTTTTGCTGATATCAAGATGATTAAAAAAAAAAAAAAAGTTAAGATTGCAAGCTCAATGATCCAAATCGGAAAACATGAGATTTGAGGTTACTTGTGGAACATACATTTTCATGCTATGCATTATGATGGCATTATTTACATAATCAAAGACTTTATTCACAAGGTAGGCATGCTTTGGAGAGATTTAGAACTGTAGACTAACAGACACTTTTTATGGTATCCTTGCCTGGTTTCTTGCGTAAGTTGGAAGATATGCAATGAATAAACCTGTACATACATTAGTGAAATATTTAGATGCTATACTGATAAGCATAATAAAAGCGCCCACAAAATACCGATAGTTTTGTCTTTAAAGCAGGATTTGAATAATGCAGTAAATGAAGCTTGTGGCTACACATTAAACAGAAGAGATAAATGGAATATGGAATTGCCACTTAGTGACTGCATCTGTCCATCCTTGTCCATGCTAAAGGAGACAAGAGTCATGTAGACAAAAATATGATCATGTAGTTAAGCAGCACACAGTAATACATTTACGCCAGAGAGAGAATTAGGGTTACAAAGGTTCAAAGATACTAGAATACTGCGAATGCTTAATTTTCCTTTTCCCAAAAGCCTTTTAACATTGATTATTGTGTGTATGTGTGTTAACATTGGCTGCAGCCTCTAAAATGACTGCATGTGTCATTTCACAAAATAGAGGTGAAACGTACTGAGTTGACAAATGCATTTCCACTCTATACCTCCACTCCTAACATTAAATTGAGAATGAATAATCAGACTGGATTTTTCTATTTCTCACCAGGCATGACCATCGTTAATACCAGCCTAAACAACTACATAACAGCAACTTATCTTCAGATCACTTGCACTGGTGTAATCATTTGAGATTTGGCGGTAATAACATTACATTTTATCTTTAGTGATACAGCCGTTTTCAGAAGTCCTCATATTCTCACCCATATCCATTCATTCCCCAGCTGTGTCTAAACAATTATTCATAGTTCTGAATGGTAAAGCATATCCATTAAGGGAATAAAATAAACCCTCCACTACCAATTTTTAAAGCTTAAAAATAATACAAAAAGTTTCTTTAAAGTAAATTTTTACCTGTAGAAATACCATTCTTCTTCAAATTTTCAACATAATCATTGCCAAAGGAATCATTACCAACCTATAAAAAAGATAAAAGTATAAGTTTTCTCTACAGAAAGGTGAGAGGATAGATAGATCATTTTTAGACAACAGAATGCTCTGATGTAATTTGAATACACTTTCTGGTTTGCAGCACTTTGCCTTATTAATAAACTAATAATTAATAGTAAAGATGTATTAATAGTATTAATAAACAATAAGATTAGCGTTCTGCAGTTTTCTCCCCTATTACAAAACTCCCCCCTGCACCCATGTCACTATATTCAAGTTTCATTTTCTTACAACCACTGCATTCCCTTGGCAGTGAAACTTTCTGGAGGTTGTAAAATCTGAAAGTGTACTGAATTATTCAGCTTTGAATTGAAAGCATTTATAGCAACTCTGGTGTTGTTCTTAATTGCAGTTCCTATTTTGAATTTTTTACTTCAAGTATCCTTGGTGGAAAAATATCAAAACGTTGTTATCCGCTAGAAAGTGACGATACACATGGTGGCATTGCTGATTTCTGATTCTTGGTACTAAATGTACTGTTTACAAATTCAACATTTTTTGCTTGCTTTATCCAGCAACAGCAGATCCAGTTGAGTTAGGGAGTCAAGCTATGTTCTATTGTTTTTCTAACAGCAAGTTAAAGAGCTTGTAATTTCAGCTCCACTAATCCTTTCAGCTGAACAGTATTGTGCTTGCTGTTTGTTCAGACTAATAAACATTTCTTTTTGTTGTTCAGCTTTTTGTTGCACTACACAAGCTGAACAAAGGAGACGAGGTATATGGAGAAAAAAAATGGCATAACCTGCTTAATGTCAAAATAGAATTTAAAATATATTTATAAAGCCAACATAGCTTTTAATTCACCACTTTCAGCCTATGTCTTCAGGATTCATAGTGAGTGCTCCCACTTCCAAGAGTAAGTTGTGTATCTGAGCAGTATCAAAGACTGACCAATGCTACAGGAAGAGAGAAAACACCATCTTTCAGATTAGAAGCCAAATTAAGATACTAGTCATGGTCTAAACAATGAAGGAATTACACTAATGAGCCATCTTCTCATAAAACAGGTCTAAATACCTAACTGTATTTGAGTTATTGGAAGCACAAAACAGCCGCCTCTATTGTCTGCTCAGTATCTTTAGCAAGCTCAGAGAAGGCCCAAGTACTAGCTAGTGATCACAACAATCAAACCCCGCAATTCAGAATTGTAAATTTTAAAGTGTCATGGACAGATGATCCTTCTCCCCACATACTCTATTGCAAAACCATGTTTGGAAACATACTTTCATTTCCTACTATAAGGGATTTTAGGGATTCCTACTATAAGTTCTATAAGGGATTTTACTAAAGCATTATTATTAGGGATGGTGCCAGTCTTTTACCAAAGGACGACAGCAATTTAGCTCAAAACAGTCTAACCAGACAGAACATTCCTTCAGTACATGGGAAAAAACCCCAAGAAAACCAACAACATTTACTTTGGTCACTGTGTTATTCATTGTTTGTATATTAGAATATTTCTGTATCTCTGACTACTCCCACTTTGCCAGACAGGGCGGGTTGTCAGAAGCTGCATCTTCCGACTGACTGCTTTAGGCTGGATGACTGCAGCCATATGCAATTTAAACCTGAGTCGTGCTCACCTCTGCAGCCTAACAGTTGTACTACTGGAATGCATTCTGCTTGATTGTATCACCTTCTTCCTCCCTCCCTGCTACAAAACTTCTACATCAAATCTCAGGATTTGCTCAGTTATTTCAACAACAAAATATTTCATAACCATTTTCCAAAAGCTTAACTGAAACTTCCTTCCTGCAGCTGTGGGTCCTACATAACTGACTGACAGGCATCCTTTATTGTTCAACTGATATAACAGCTGAGATCAGCTGTGGTATTTTTGCTCACAGCGAGACATCTCAGTGCTGGAGGGAAGCACTTGGAGGGGTGTCCATGGAGGTCCTTTTCCTCTAGAAACTTTTTTCCATGTTAGTTCATCAGCATCCAACCCAGTTAATCCTAGTGTGTTTGAAAGGCTTATCTTTCCATTCAGGCTTTACCCACAAGGAAGACAGAGTACTGGGCATCAGACTCATTTTAGATTAAAGGCATATTTACTGACCATGTCAAATTATATAACATTGTTTTAAATATCTTCTGCTTTTGCACAGACCTTGCTAGACAGATTATTGGGTAAACAGAAAAATAAATGTCTTAGTCTGCTGACCACAGAACATTGCATGTGCTGAAATAGCATTTCTTCTTCCTTGAGTTCTTAACAACAATAGCCGTTTGTACAAGCATTATGGTCACCTAGTTTGCATATTAGAATTACATTGGTATTTTTCAATCTGGGTTTTCCCTGCTTACTATCATGTTTTCCATGTGGAGCTAAAAGAGCTGGCTGGCCTCATAGCAGCTAAAATTCTAGCAGCTTAGAGAATCAAACTCATATGTATCTGAAAACAAATTACAACAAAAACATGTACCTCTTCACAATTGTTTGTTTAATCTATTCTATATGCTCCTTTTTTAGAGAGTGTTTACTCTTTTTCTTCATTAGGGAACTAAACGGCTACTAAAGACAAGACAGTAAAACAAAAGAAAAAAAAAAACAGCTAAAGACATCCATCATATTCTGGACTGTATTTGAGATATAGCTGTATTCTTACAATGAAGTGAGGATTCAGGCTTACAGCACTTAAATTCGGTTTACAGATCGTCTAAAGAGAGAAGACTACATAGAGCATGGTAATACAGCACTTCCTAAGTAGGAATCAAATGCAGCTGGGACTTAAGTGAGGATCATTCCAAATTGTTAGTCAGAAGCAAAACAGGACTTTTTTCAGCACATACAATGTCTTTCACACCAAAATCCCTCCACCATCTTCATCTAGAATGTTTAACAGATTTTTTTGGTCTACCAAAAAAAAAAAAAAAAGAAAAGTTTGGGGAGTTTGGAATTTCTCAAGACCATGGTTCATTTTTCAGTACTGCAACTGAATTCTTGTTTGAACATGAACAAATAATTTATTTGCTTAGATCCTTTCGTTCCCTGACAGTAGTCATTTACATTTCTCTGAACCATTGTCTTTCTTGTCTTTTTGAAGTGGCAATTATTCCATCAATACTGGCAACTATTACATCAATACTGGGAAAATTGAGGAGGGGAGTTTAAGACTGATACTGGGATACATACCCAGAGTAACAGTGGCCACTTGCAGAGACATCCAGGCAGAAAGCAGAACACAGTTTGTGTTTCCACTACTCAAACTCAGTACTTGGATTTTACATTAAAATCCACAGTATTCTGTGGTATCTCTAGTCATAGCTGTAAGTAATTTTAAAAATCCCTCTCTCAAACCCTTACCAAATAGTCAATGGCCTTCTTCTGTGTTCTAAAGCTCTGAGGTATGAAGAATGCCTTGTCACTTGATCTGACATGTCTACCTCTACTCTTGTTCATGTACTCTGTTTAAATTACAGTCCTTATAAGAGGATGCCACACTCCAGCAGAATGGCCCTCTAGTATTAATACTGATTCCATTCCTTGAACTTCAGGTTGAAGAAGCAATTATTGCACCTGTACTGGATAAAAAATGTTGGGAATTATGGCCAAAATAAAAGCATGTTACTGAGCACTGAGTGTGTATGTGTGTGTGAGGGGCAATTTGGCTTTAAGAACCACTGAATACTTAAGATGACTTGTTAAAGTAAAAATAATAGAATTGTGATGATTCAGTATTGCCTGACTTTTCTCAGTTTATTCAGCAAGAAACTAACTACAGCCCATTGACCTCTGCAGATACAGGACTGTACAGTTATGAGAATATTTTGTGAGGCTATAAAGCGCATTTTTAATTTAAAAGCAAACAATAACTTTTAAAATTGAAAAAATACAAAATACTATAATTTATAGATATTAGAGTCATTCTCTGCTGTTTCTTTTCTCCAATAAATACACATCAGAAAGAAAGAAAGAAATAAGACTAGGTTTTACTGAAATATCATAAATACGATTTTGGAAAGTAATTAGAAATTATAGTAACTGCTAAATTTTATTAGGAATGCAAATGTTTCCAGAAACATGCATGCACTGAGCAAAGGCTAGACCATTAAAAAATAAAACAAAATTCACACTTCAGTGGAAAAAAACCCTTTAACATTTAGCAGGAAATGTTAGCAGGGAATTCATTGCCAGTTCATCTTGTACTTGAATCTGATCGTTCTTGAATGCAAAGATGATCAAATATACACAATATTACAGAAGCACAAACACTGCCAATATAAAAAAAACCCTACACTCTAAAACCACTAGTGATAATGACCCACATAAATGCTTGCAGGTGTAATTTAGAGTTATAGCTACTATTCTTTAGCCTAAATATTGGATTGGAAAACCAGTGAAAAAGGCTTCCTTGAGATGTTTCCAGTACTTCTCAAAAAATCCCTGACAGACAACAATACAACAAATCTAGCATCCGCCCCAGCTATGGCAAAAACAAAGTATGTCCAGTCAAGTTGAAGTTTCATCTAGAGTTAGCACAGGATAGATAATAAGGCTACAGAGAGAGAAAACTGGATCTTAACCTTAGTAATGGTCACTCAAAACTTACAATGTTTAATGCAAACATCAAAGAAAAGCATTTTAAGAATGTAGTATATGCCAAACTGAATCAGCCCAATGGTCTGTGAGCCAGTTTTTGGAACTGCTGTATATCAGATGTTTCAGAAAAGTGGGCAAAATTCCCATAGCACACAAAGGTGCTAGAATTTGGACATGAACATCTCATCCTAATCTCAAGTAATGAGATAATGATTTAACCCTTGAAGCACGAAGTTTTATATTCCTTCTCAAATTGGTTACTGGCTTGTTGGTGTCTGACTTTTAATCACCTACAAAGTAAACTTCAGATTGACTATAGTGCCTTACCACCTGAATATCATCAGTGAAGCCCTGATTGTTTTAACAGTGGGAACATAAAGAGGAGGGGCTAACCAAGATTACTTAAAATTTTGAACATCTCAAATTCTCTCCAGTTCTCTTTTCCATGGTATATCAATCTCAGCTTTGCAATCCTTCTTTATATGCAATTTCTGCCAGATCTCTAGCCAACTAGTCTTTGGTTCTGGCAGTGCTTTTAAAACAGCCTCCTCCATGCTTAAATTTATAGCTCAAATACCTAACAGAAAAGGGAATTAGAGAAGGATTAAAAAAAACCCACCCCCAACTTTTCTGTAAGTCACCTAAAGGTTTACTGGAATTTGCATGAACTTTTAGTTCAACTGTAATCCAAGAGCAAGTCATTGCTTACCTTGCAGATCAGCGAGGTCTTGGCCCCAAGTCGAGCAGACTGGACACACTGGTTGGCTCCTTTCCCACCAAAACCAATGAAAAACTTATGTCCAAGGATAGTTTCTCCAGCTCTTGGCAATCGTGTAGTAAGGCTATTCCAATTTAAAGCAATATTTACAAACATTGGTGACTGAAAATAACAAATATCTTCAAAATAAGAGTTACATTCTTATAATCCTGAATGGTCCAACAGCCAGCCAGCAAGACTGAAAAAGACTCGAAATACCTTTTAGGGTCCCTGCTCCACATCCCACCAGTTTAAATTTATTCCTTATATGCCACCCAGTCAAGCTTCTCATTTATTACTCAAGAGAGGGACTGCATTTCTTTTGTTCGTGTTTCATGATTCTACAGGAAAAGAAGCACTTGATCCCTGACTGGGATTTCCCAGTACTAACTCAATACAGATAAATAATAAATCTATAGGTCTCACTACTCATGTTGTTTTACTGTAACATTCAGCTCAAGTTTATTTATTGTTCATTTAATTTCATTACATCTAATTATACCTTCTTGAACCACCCTAAGTAATTTTTCATTTTGTTGGTGTTTACACTCCTCAAAATTGTAGATTGTTATCAAAACTTTCCTCCCCTCTGCTGTCACTCAGGCGCACTGTACATATTAACTTCTTAAAGTTTTTCTCTTACAAATCAAGCTTTACAACTTCTCAGCATTTTGTTGTTTCTTGAACGAAGACCAATTACACTTACATCCTTCTGGTGATGAGTGCCCAGAACCAGATGCACTAATACAAGCAGAGACCCATCAGGAGTGTACTGGTTTCATTTCCATTTTGGAAAAAAACAAAACAAAACTGTAATTTTGTTAACCCTGCGAGATGCTTTGCTATCTCCAGCAAAAGTTGAAAGGAAGAAAAGTCACCACCAAGACTATGTAGAAGAATTTCTCTTAATGCAAAAGGCTAGTTGACTTTTGCTACTTCCGTTAAAATACATAACTCAAAGCTGGGTTTGCAACACTGAGATTACCAAAATCCCTGCCTCCTCAAGCCATACATTCCAGGCACAAGGTTTAAAAATGTAATTCCTTCTCTCTTCAGCTACAAACAAGTTCACAATGTGTGTGGAGGGAAGGCCTCCTACGATGTACTAGCAACCTGTTCAGTCAATGACAGTTAGCTTAGACAGGTTTCCAGAAGTCTGCAGTAAAGAAATGGTGAGTGGGGAAGGGGAGTCTGAAAGAATGAAAGTCTACACTAATGAGGAAGAGATTAGCATCAGCTCTGTTAGTAAATTTATAATATTATTTTACCAATAAATCTTACAACAACTTCAAAATTGCCAGCCCTTCAATTCAGGAAAAAGGTGATATGCTTCTGCACTAGCAAATGACTACAGAATGATTTTTGAAAAGGATATGAAGAATACGTGTGTATTACTTTCTGAGTTTATGCTGCAACTTCTGGGGCATGTCGGTGTTTGCAAAATCTTATGGAATTAATGAAGAAGCACAGCCTGATTTATTGAAAATTCTCAGGAAAAAGCAAACATTTTTTTTCCTACTAATTTTCAATTCAAGCCTCCATCAGTCCAAAGGTTTAGGATCATTAGGAAATCAGGAAAACCTAAAATCAAACTAGCGAAGCCAAACAAGTAATGAACTCCCGGAAATTAAGACTTTTGCTTAGAAGGAGTTATTATGGGTCTGTGTTTCATCCATAGTTACAGTTTCCAGAGAGATCTAGGTAGGGATGCAGACTCTAAGCAGGGATGCTCACTAATAGAGCACCCCAGATTTCAGTGTGAGGGTACAGTACCCAGCCAGCAGGTTTATTTTGTGTGGGTGACCACAGAGAAACCCCAGAAGGCTCACATATGCAGCTAATGGCATTCATTTCGTTTCCAGAGAGGCAGGGCCTGGAACATTCTGTTGGGAATTTAAACTATTTCAAATAAAAATACAAAAGCTTTTTACAAGTGAATTATAGGCACCATATATATATATATATATGTATGTGTATATATATATATATGTAAATGGTTGCTAAATTAAAACTGTTTGCCCACAGCAGCATCTGGCAGGTTGTTTACAACAATGAGTAACTGTACGGTTTCAGGGAACAAGGTGTAATGAGTGTAGATAAATAATGTTTATTAATGGTAACATCTATAATTTATCACTATTTTCACCATTGGAAGTCAAAGTAGTGATGGTTGTGGACCAGACAATGAAGGCCACAAAACTCAGCTGAGGAACTCCTATTCAGCCAGTGCCAGGGTACTTCTAAAATTACATGCCATTCAGTAAACAATAGTTGCTTCACTAAGCCTTGGTAAGAAATAGCAATAGCAGCTCTTGTATAATTCCCTTCATCCACAGATCTCACTATGCTTTAAAAAGCAGAACAACATTCCTGTTTTGTGGGTGTGAAACTTAGGCAAGTCATTTTGCCTTTTTGTGCCTCAGGTCAGCCAAGAAGCCAGTGGCAAAACCAAAAATAGAGATCAGCTCAATCCACTAGCTCACACTCTCTTATTTAAATTCTGCAGTATGAAAATGGTATCAAGTCTCAAATCATTTTCCATCCTTAGGGTGGTTTTCAGAGATTATATCTTATTCTAAATAGAATTTGTTTCCACAAAAAGCTAATACATTTTCAGACAAAGATTAACAATTGCGACATCCCAGCAGACATCTGCAAACAGTGCTTCTCTTGAGTTCATATGCACTTTCAAGAAGTACATTCAACCATTCATATTCTTGTTTTAACAGTGACCAGACCATGACTCGATTCTTCTCTCAGTTATGTTGGCATCAACATTCAACTCCAATGGAAGCGTCATAATTGCACTGGTGAAAAAACAGGCCTGGCAAGATGAGAATCTGGGCCTCAATGTTTCAAGCAGCATGGCACAACAACTGCCTGTGGGAATCAAAGAGCTTGCTGAAGACAGGGAGATGACCTTTTTTATTGTTTTGATGGAAAGGTACAAGGCAAGGGGCAAAGGATCAAGCTGGAACAGATTTATAATTAGTCAATTTTAAAAATAGACTCACAGACTAGGCAAGAACATCCAGCAAGTTTCTGTAGCTCACTGTAAACAAAAAACCCACCTTACTACATTTCAGGCATGATCACCAATCCTTTTGGACTAATTCTCCATTCCAGAAGCCTATTTTTATTATCCATATTAAAAAATTCAGAGTACTGATCTATAAACCAGGTTTCACTTTCACTGAAACAGGTATTAAGAAATTATTTTTTGCTAATATACTACTATTCTCTTGTCATTTAATTCTGCAACTACACTAACTTTTGATTCACATCAGACAATTTTAATGAGCATTTCAGGCTTCTGTTATGAGCAGGCAATGATGAGTAATCTGTATGATTAAGGAAGCCTATAAATTCTTGGCTTATTGCTGGTACCACAAAGAATACTCAAAATAGCCTAAAAGTGATGAAAAAGCTAATGCTACTTCAAAACTAGGCTAAATAAGTTAATTAGAAAAACCGTCACATTGGCGTTCAGAATTGTTACACAAAATGTTTTGTAAAGCCATTTACAACTTCGATGTAATTTGAAAACACTGACCTGAAAAACCTAAGTTGCTATCCAACACACTACTCTTTCCTTATGTGACAAATTCTGCTCAGCTTTGAGTGGATAAATGGTACAAAGGATACTGAGCTCTCACATCTTATGGACAACCAGAAACTAAACTTGAAAACCCCCAACACTTATTAGATGTGAAATAAAATTACTATATAGTATGTTTTTTAAATTGTGCACCATATTACTGAGTCATATTTATAGAGGAAAGTTCATGCTGAAACATCCTGAAATACTTTGGACATTACAAATAAAGGAAAATAATCACTCAGAATTTAAACTGAGTTTTTACAAAGTAATATTTAAATGTAAAGCGCATAAAAATGCTGCCCACATTTGTTCATGGGAAATGAAGAATCTTACATCCACTTACATTTCAGAGGTTTGGGATGAATAAAAGTACACATGTAAGAATCTCACCATTGCAGTAACTTCAACTGTCTCTTCCAGTAAGTGTGTGCCACAAGTTACTTTAAAGGCTTGAGCTGATCAGCATTTGTATTTTTAGACAGACAACCCTTTGGAAGGTTGGCATTAGAAACAGAACAGAACCCTTTACTACTGTCTTGAAGCACTGAATCAGAGGTGAAAGTGCAACTTACTGAGTCATTAATGCCCCTTACCCTGGTATTCTGGGTTTTCTTGAAAAGTTCCCATCTAAGCAGTGGCTAGATTGTATTCAGAGATAGTCTAAAGAAGGAAGGAGGGGAAAGGGAGAGATGTATATTAGCAGTATTTGCATAAATTAATCCTGAAATTAATCACGGTTTGCTTCTGATTGTTGACACCCCACCAGTGTCTGTTCATTGTTTTCAACACACGAAAGTACTATAAATATGTATTATTACTGTTAGCTTAAGCTGATGTACAACCATGCCCTCCCGTCAGCAGCATTTTCCCAGTGTTTCTTCTCTTGCATTGCTTTTATTGCTCATGGAGCTTCCTAATTCAAAACATTTTTGTTCCAAGGGTCACTTTAATTTAGATCAGCAAATTGGTCCAACTTACTGTACAGCAGCCAGGGTGGGCCAAAACTTGCAGGACCGTGGAGAAGGTGAGTGAGGGGAGGAGCAGGAGTGCCTTTGCTGGCAGCAGTACAGCCAGACTGCCCTAAGCCAGAGTTGAAACTTTGACTTGATACTACTTTGTATGTTGAAAACAATGAATGCTATGTAACTAAGGTTTAATTACAGTACTGAACTAAGTACAGTATACTTAGTTCATTAGACATATTGAAGAAAAGCATAAAGTATCAGCATGTTTCTGAGAAATGACGTGCATGAGAAGAAAATAGAAAAGTACATAAGCATTTTCCTCTAAAAAAAGAAAATACTCTCATCAGGCAACTCAGAGGGGAAGAGAATTTATACGTTAGATTAGATAGCACATTATCTAAAATGACTGTCATTTATCAGAAGCAACATTCAGACTTTTTTTTTTTTTCCTGAAGAAAGGTGAAGATAATCAGGGGTATCAAAATAATAGCAGAAAAACTGCATTTAGAAGTGTCTTAATAAAAATGAATACAAAGTAAAGGTCTACAACTTAGCTTTGATTCTGTTCTCTTTGAATCACTGAACAAAACTGTCTCTTTGTCTCCTCCTGGGAATTCCCTAGAATGGGGAAAATCCCTGTGAGATTACAGTAGGTGTAACTAGCCACTGTCTAGTACATAAAATTTACTGGGCTTTCATGATTCTCAGAACTCAACAAATATAAAGGAGAGAACATTTCTTGCCTCTAACTAGGAATATTAGTACAACATTGTGGTGAAAAAGTCTCAGACCTCTTTTAGATCTGGCTTAAAATTTTGGTTTAGGCTTGGTCTGTTCTGTCTAGCTTTATTTTTAAAGATTTGAACATGTGCTATGGAAAAGTATCCATAACAAAGAGACAAAAAGACCACAATTCTTTTCAAAAATCTCATGGTTTTGACTGGTTTATGCTTTCATCCCTTTTAATAATCCACTAAAACATCTTATGGGAAGGTAAAAAACTTCCAAGATTTATACAGACTACCTCAGGAATTTAGTTAACTACAGCTTGGTTTAAGAATGGGGTCACCTGGTTCTAGGTTCATAGTCTCACTTCAGATTTTTAACGACTGAAAAAATTGTTAAGAGACAATTAGAAGCCACAGAAAATCTCTATTTTTTCTTCCCCCTATCTCCCTGAACATGATAAGTTTTTCTTTAAAAAAATTTAACTTTTCAGACAATTCATGTAATTGGTTATTGCTTGGATATTTGATGGTCTGGGTTCTCTCTCTAGCTCACAGTAATGAATATTGTAGAAACATTACCCAAACTGGTACCAGGCAAAATCATCAATGCTTAAAGAGTCATCCTTTTGTAGGACAATGCTGAAGCAAAGTAGCTGAGTGAGATGCAAAAGCTTTACCCCAGCATCCATTCAGAGATTTTTTTTTAAACCTGTTTGATTTTACATGACATACAGCTTGTCACCACGACACAAGTAAATGAATTGGTGCAGAGCAGCAAGAATCTTTTCAATCAGTTTTTCTATGAGAGAAAATATATCTTTTATTGAACACAAATATCTATACACATTTTTAAAATACAAACTGTTTTGTAGATCTCATTACTGAATGGGTAAACAGCTGAAATGAAAAAAATGGTGAAAATCTCTAGCAGAGGAGAAAATTAAATGAATGGCTGAGACTACTAGGACACAAGACTGATAATCTTCTTCTATGTGCAATCACAAGCTCCGTTTAAAACCACCAAAATTCATAACTCATTGAATGAGAACAGATGTCCACAGTTTTTCAAGTAGAACTTCAATGAACATTTCTGCTGACCCTCTTGCACAGAAGCAAATTTTACTCTCCTAGATTTTTAGGAGATGAAATAAACAAGGTGGCATCCAGATGAATGTCCTGAAGCATTTACAGGAGCACACTGTACTACACTACAGTGAAATGATGATATCACCAAGAGATCAAAATTCCTAAATTATGTTAGGAGTATGAAACCTTCAACACAAAGAAATTATTTATTGGACTGACTGACAAAAGTAAAAAGCTTTCTCATAAAACAACAAACCTGTAACTTTTCCTCACAATTTAAATTGTTAAATTTTGGGAAAAAGTGGGCACAACACTCATGAATTCATAATCTGTGGAATGTTTAATTCCAAACTTGAAGCTCTAAAGAGATTAAAAAAAACCCAAATATGAATCTATCTTCAGATATTTAAGTCTCAGCAAACATTCCATCATTCTTACCAAACATCTGTTTTGTATTTAAGAAAGATTGTGGAAATTTTCAAAATTACTACTCTCTAACTTTATTTGCCTCCCACGTTGTTCTTCATTGATGTCTCTTGATTATATTATTTTTGGAAGTGCAGTTACATAATTATTTTCAAGGCAATCTGATGGCAATGTTAGAATAGACTGTCTCTGAAACATGCTGTGCTCACCCAGCACTGAAGAAGGCTGCCTACGGTTCCTATGCTGAACAGAACATTATATCATGAAATACCAGGGTTAAAGCAAAAAAAAAAAAAATCATAAAACAACATTTGCAACCCGAAGAGTGATCTTTGCATGCTCAAGGACAGATTAAGATCAACAAGACACATGTGAACATTAATTTTTCTCTACCACTTAAAGAAAGGATTTATCAGACAAAAAGGAACAAATTGGAAATAATATGGTTGAGTAGATAGGCCACTGAGTCCTTGTTCTTGTCATCACAATTTTTTTATATACTGGTAAATCAACAAAGTAATCTATGCTTCTGCTTTACTATCATAGAGAAAATAGAGCACCTACTGAACCCCCTACAAATCTTGTCATCAGTCTTTTCTAGTCTTTTTATTTAAAAAATAAAAAAGGAACCCCACATACACTATTGGCATTTTGCACACAAGCATATTGTGCTTTATAAACTAGAATATTAAGAGCAACATCATAGACGTGTTCTTGCTACATAGTCATCAAGATTAAGTACAATACAGTCCAAATACTAATAATTTTCTTCGATAAGATGTTGTTCTAAAAGGTCACACCCAGGACAATAATTTTGGCAAGTATGATATTTTTCATCAAGTTTGTAAGTACAGTGCTTCCTACATAATCCATATGGGTGACAAACAGAAAGTATAATCAAAACAATACTTATTTATGTATACTTACTCAATGTATCATAGATAATAAATGTAAGCAATATATTTAAACATAAAATAGAATAGAATAGAATAGAATAGAATAGAATAGAATAGAATAGAATAGAATAGAATAGAATAGAATAGAATAGAATAGAATAGAACAGTTCAGTTGGAAGGGACCTACAGTCATTATCCAGTCCTACTACCCTACCACTTCAGGGCTAAATTCACAGTGCCTTCAGTAGACAAGTTTTTACTTTGAAATACCTTACCCTCGATTCATTGATTTAAAAAAGCTTTATCTGAGGTTCAATCTAATTATAAAGTCATCTACTAAAATCTTGGCTTACAATTAAGACTTGCATGGCAAAGATAAGAATGTGCAGGTTGGAGAGGGGGTGCCTGGGCTTTGCTGGCCAAGGTGACATTTAGGAATCTCCTCTAGGTAAGTACCTTTAACTTTTTCACCATTTAAGGTCTCTTGGGGAAGCAGATCTCTACAAATCAGAAAAGTGTAGTTCTGTATAAACCTGGCTTGTGATGGACAACTCCCACGTCTCTACTAATGCCCAGAATTTAATGAGTAAGAGTGAATGAGAACTGAAGAAAAATCTGCTCATTTTTGCTGCCTCTATATGGATTACTATGAGCTCCAGCAAAACCACCAACTGCTTTTTCCCAACAGGTCATTTTTCACTTTGTTCTTTCTGGGGGAAAAAAAAATAAAAATTAAACAAAGAGCAATACTAAAGCAATACTAAGAGGATATTCCCAATTAATAATACTAACAGGATCAGACAATTAGAAGGAAGGCATATTCACTCTCATTACAGCTGAGAACATGGAAAATGCCTGTCTTTCCACATGAATACTGAACTTGCTCTGTCTCACCTATTCCTTCCCATCCTTTATTTTCAGCTCTGACCAACATGCTTTTTTCTTTCTGCTCTTTATACTAGATATCAAGGTTTATGCATTTTGTAAAAACAGGGATCTGAGAGAGGATAGGAAGTATAGCAAGTGATGGATGGAATAAACTAGCAAAAGGGAATTGTAATTCTTTGGAAGCAAAAGTTATTTTTTGAAAGATGAGAAGCAGGAAAAGAGCAATAGAGAAAAGAAGTACACTGTAAGAACATGATGTAGAAAGACAACAAGAGAGGTGGATGCAAATAAGAGGAAATCAGAGATTGTTCAGGGATGATATACTATTGATCTAGTATAGGAAAAATGGAGAAAAAATGGACTGAAGTCAGAAATGGAAAGAAGAAATAATAAAACCCAGAAGAAAGTGCACACCTAATATATTCAGGAACATTACCAACTTCTATATTTTATAATTAGTTGTCACAAAGATCAACGTGTTCTATAAAGCTGCACCTACTTAGGCAACATACTAGTGAAAAATCATTTTGTATTTTCTTCAGGCTCAAATATATGATATTAGGCTTGGAAGAAACCAGGGATGTCAGCATCAAGTAACTTACTGCAGCTTGATATAGGGGCTAACAACTGGAGCCACATAAAAGAAGCAAACAAAACCTTACTGGTAAACTCCTATGGAAAGAACAGCTCAGACAGCTCCTAGAGGCAACATCATATATATGCCTGCCCAGAGTGTTTTTACACAAATTTGTTACCACTGACTCTGTACGATTTTTATTGCAGCTTTTGATTTGTGCCAGCAGCTCTTTACTGTTAGGAGTACTAAAATTCACCCAAAGATATTTATGTCTAGAAATGCATCTAGGAAAATGGTTATTTCCATTAACAGTACAGCCAGCTAGTAATTCATTAACAAGACAGAACTATTAATCATATCATTCTGTGGCTCATAAAGGGGGAGAAAATAAAATATTCTCAGTGTTGGATGTTAAAATATAGTGCCTAACAACTGTTTATTGTGACAAATACTTCCAAATGAATTCCTTTAGACAATTTCTCCTTTTGACTGTCGTGAATCTTGTATGGCAAACACCTCCAGACTGAAAAGGAAAGAGATGTTTTATTTTAAATAGTCAAAAGGAATTAACAATAATGGCAAGGACAATAACCAAAACAAGAAAAAAAACATGGGAGTTATATGGCAAAAGAGTATTCACTGGAGCAATAAATTATAGGTACATTCATAACACAACATAATATCCAATCTGTATCATTGGGACACAGCAGAAGCCCAAGGAATACCCTGAAGTACTGACAATGCCAGTCCAGTGCATCACTGTTTTGCATGCTATTTACTTGGAACTGCACAGATGTCTAAGAACTGTAGAGAAAGCAAAAGGCAACAGTTGTGCTATCTGTAAAGTGGGATGTTACAATGTGAAGCCATGGCCATATGCTATTGTGTATTGCTGAGATAAAATGACATCTTTCTGTAGCAGAAATTAACACAAACCCCTCACTCCTGATGCTGATATTGGACAATTAGTAAAGCTTGTATCTCAACAACTTCTTCCCTGATCATAATGTTATTATTTCCTGACTCTTAATTTTCTCCAAACAGAGGTGTCACCCTGGGTTTTCCAGACAGGCTCTGCAGGAACGCTGCACACTCAGGACGCTGCTGTAACATCACCTGACTCTACGCTTAGTAACTCTGGGCCAGGTCTGTTATGGCATTAGTAATCTTAGTCTCCAAAAACTACATATAATAATTCTGCCTATCTTTTGTTCCATTCCACCTTGGTTCTGTTTCCATGAACATCAACGGAAAAAGGAATTCCTTTCTACTGTAGTTACTAACATGATAATAATTTCACGGAGAACCTTTTCACATCCTAGACTTTCTGTGAAAGTGGACACATGCCAGTCTTGTATGTAATCAGGGCACACTATTTTGAGATTTTTTTCTAATGTTCTAACCCAGATTATTTGAACTGATATTTTATGAAAGTTCATTGCTGTTATGTGGGAAAACACACAGGCTGAAATGTGCACAAGTATAGTGTATTTCTGTAATTAACCTAGCAAAAAATGGCTACAAATTGTGTCTTGTGTTGCAATACCTAGACTAATGATGTTCTTTATAAACTTTTATCTAATGTCTTTTCCCTTTCTTTTCACTCTTGTTTAGAAAAGTCTACTTCCTTGGCTTAAAAATTCTTAAGTATTTGAAAGGATGAAATAAATTATGTTGTGAACCCACTGTTTCCATCTTGCAGCATTAGCAACTGTTTTAACACTGGACACAATTTTAAATGAATGAATTTTCTTTCACCATTGCAGTGCTGAAACTGGCCTCTGCTGTCACCAACCCATAAGAAAGCATGTACATACCTAGGAAGGTTCGACAAAGAGATTCAAGTACCAATAGCTGGCAAATCAGACACCCATTAAAAAGATGAAAAGACTGATAACTACGATGTTTTACTTTTGTGGGTAGTGTATAATAGCTTACTGACCTCCAAAGGGGAAAAATGCCAGTCTAAAGAGACTAGAAAATTGTGATGTTTTAAGTCAAGCATTTAAGTAGCTCTGAATAACTAAACAGTGAGCACCATGGTGTTTCAGACAAGTGTTCTTAGCCAGGCAGGAGAACACAAGATGGAGTAGCTGATTTTCTTCTCCCATTAGGAAAATATACCCCAAAAAACTTATCACCTGCTAAGATCAAAATGTTTCTGGATTAATTTACTCCATTACCCAAGTGAACTCTCTAGAGAATTAAGCAATAGTTTCCCTGCCTCATATGGACTAAACCTAAAAGCTTGGTAAACACTAGTTTTATCTCACAAACCATAATTTTTAATAGCTAACACACATAGGAAAGTCATAATCCTCCACTGATGATATCATAGTCTACTGCCATGGAAATGACTGCAGTATCATAAACACAGGTTTAAGATGACCTCACTTTCATAGGAAAGAGGGAAATTTCACTGGAATGTGAATGACATTGGGAATAAACACACATAGATACTATACATTGAAAAAATTTTCTTACTGGTCAGTTAAAACATGGAAGATGAAGACGACACCTAGACGTGCAGCTGAACAGAAAAGGGGTTCTCCTGTCCAAACACCATATTACTGCCTATGAGTCTTTGAACAGAGAGAGCCATCTGAAGTCCTGTCAGGGTTCTACTCTGTACGTTCACTACACCATACAGGAGTGAAATCCCTGCCCTGACAGGCTTACAGTTTAACCACAAGAACATGAACAAAGTATGGCTATAAGAATATAGTGTAGGATCACAGAACAACATTGTAGCTGGAATGCTTCCTAGAATGAGTAAGTACTTCAGAAGTGGGAGGAAGAGAACTATACAGTCTCTTGAAGCACACAAAATAACATAAAGTCAGACGCAAATGCAGAAGTACGATCTCAGTGTGGCAAGTGCTAAGTATTTTGGCATCGGTTCAGGAAAATACATATATTTAACCTTCAGCTCTGAAGTACTCTGAGAGGTGTCAAACAACTCAAGGATTGGAAGTTGAAATTTGTGTGTAAGTTTTGTGTTGCTGTGAGTTGGGAATGTTGAGTTCTGTGCAGGACCCCAAGTTGAGATGAGACAAGAAGCTTGAGCTGAGAACAGGGAGTGGAGAAATGCAGAAGGCGATAATGATCTCACTTAAGTAGATCCTTTCATCTTGAAGGATCTCAAAGCAATTTATAAACTTAAACAGACCAGACACTGCAGCTGGTAGGAACAGAAGCAGACAGCTGGGAACTCATTCATGAGATGGAGGAGGTAACAGAGGACTTACTGGGTGCCATATCTTCCAAAATGCTGGTGCTGGGAGAAGGTAGCAAGGCTAAAACGCAGCTTTTCCCTGGACCTTGCCATGCAGCCATGTGAGAATACTGCAAAAAGCAAGCAGGCAGCCAGAACTGTCAGAAAGAGAGCAGAAAAACAGGGGGCTTCTGGATAGCTGGGGGGGCTGTCACTGTTAGGACTGTAGTTTCCCTAGGGCCTTTTATCTCAACTTAACTCCATAGAGTCTTCACACATTCTGCACATAAGTAAAACCTTATGTATTTCCTATTATTTTTGCCCTTGTTAAGACCTTCCAAAAATTTCTCTTTACATTTTTCCTATCTTTTTACAAAGCAAACTGCCCCTCTTCTCTACCTCCAACTCCAAAATTTTTCCAAATGCATAGTAGGACAAGTAGTGCTACCTCTTGGTTACTGGGAAGACAAAGAAATTACTTCAGCTATAGCATTCATGTAGTACAGGCCTGACTGCAGTACCACAAGGGCTATTCTTTAGCTCAAAAGCCCTACTGATTACATGCTTTTAAAACTGAACTAGATAAACAAGTCTAAAAAGCAAGAGTCATATTAGTTATTGCTGAAATGCAAGTGCTTCTGGAAGGAAAGACAGAGACTAATTATAGTACACAGTAGCTTAGGACACAAAATGAAGGCACCAAATGAAAGGGCAGGAAGGTTTCAATTAAATAGAATCCAGAAAGCAACACTTTTGTTGTGCTTAAGTTAAAAGACATGGTGTGACCAGTTTCACACTCATATTTCCCAAGACTTTTAAAACTTCCACATTTCCTTTTAGAAAGGGGAAAAAAATTTATCATGGTAAAGAGTCAAAGACAAGCGTTGAGCAGGTGTTCTAGCACCACCAGTCCTTCTCAGAGAGGATCCACAGCATCCTCTGTTGTACAAACAACAGTTTCTTTCAGAAAGTGCCAACTGGGATCAATGGTGCACTGTCTCTTGCTTGGGGTTCATAACCTTGGTTGCAAATGCAGCTCTTGTAATGGGTTAAAAAAATTCACTGGTGGCCTTGCCCTAGTTATTTTGTGCTAATTTAAGAAACACCCAACCAGACATTTTCCCTCCTTTTTCCCTCTTCAATATTTTGTCATTTTTCGTTAGAGGAACTTTGTTGGAAGCTTTTCAGGTCTGGAATATAACACCAAATACTTCTAACATACTAAAAACATTAAACTGTGTCTCACCCTAAAATAAACTGATCACTCAGACTTTGCGGGGGGGACAACAATTTAATGACAGTTTACAGCAGTGAAAAGCTTCTTTTGACATGAATGGGCTTGGATCAGGCCCCACATCAGCTGAGCAGTGTCTGGGCCACTACAGATATTCAAAAGCTGTATATGAACAGAACACAATTTTCTTACTCAATTCCATTACTGAGGATTTCATCAACTTGATTTTTATCCTGTATTTCTTTTTGGGGCCCCAAGATACAGATTTCTTCCTACCAGGCAAGAGAAGGCAAAAGGAAGTTTCTCTAAAAACTTAAGCAGAACAACAAAACACTGAGCCTGCAGATCCTGCATTTACTATACATCCAAACTTTGCTAGGTCAGAGAAGATGACAAGGGAATAGCACAGGCTCTGAAATCAAGCCCAGATTTTTCACTATTACATAAACTAAACAATTCACAGATGACACATTCTCTCATGCCTTGATGCCTTTCTCTGGATCCAAAAGATTAATTTCCTCAACTGGACTAAGCTTGTATTCCTTCACAGTTGTGCTTTCCCATGCTGCTGGCAATGGAAGATTGACTAGAATGAGGAGTGGCTGCTGCAGGGGAAGCATTACAGATAAAAACAAAAACACAACTGAAATGGATTTGAAGGATTCTAGAACACTTTGCTGCTAGGAGAAGCTGAAGACCAGAAAAAAACATTGAAGCATTAAAGCAAGAAAAAAAACACATTAAAACTTGGTGATTGTGCATGCATGAGAAATGGTGGAAATAGGAACACATGTGAAAGACCTGGAAACAAAGCAAAGAAGAAAATGAAGTCACATGTGAGGCTTTCTCTGCTCACTCAAAAGAAACATAAGAAAATACCTTTTCATATTCCCACCAAAAAAAGCCTGGTATTATTGTCCCAAATATTGCCCTTTAAAAAATAAATTACAGACAGAGCTTTGGATCATAGACATCTCCAGTGAGCCAATAAACCATTTACTTCAGCACTTTGGCTGACAATAATCACATGAAGGACTTAAGAGGTAGAATCTCACTCTTGGAGATAACATTGCCATTTTGCACAAGCAGAGATTGTGCTCAGTTAACGAAGATGATTTGAGGTGTCCACCAGGCTACTCTGAGATCTTAATTCCAGATGTGCATTTGTCACCACTGTCCACTCCAGCCTGGCAACATGCTACTTTGTAGCTCAGTGATTTCTCTGCCATGTCTTTTTTCTCTCGCTGAATGCTTTCAATCAGTTTACTACCTGCCATAATAATTAACGATGGTTGTGACAACAGGGGACTGAAAGCAGAACTTTTAGTTCCACTCCCTACAGGGAATGGAAGCAACTTCAGGGAAGAAAAGGGGTCCACAGAAAACTAAGACTTGAAATTTTGAACATCCTACCAAACACAGTTTTCCAGTATTTGGACTGTGGTCTCATTCTCTTGAGTTGAAGTGAAAAACTATGGCTGTTTTGACTATCCAAAGACTGTTTTTCCATCTTACATTTTGTTCTTTGCTTCTGCTGTTTTCAATTGCCATGCCAAAGTTTCTCCTGTTTATTCTAATTGTTTTAGTGTGTCTGACTCTCATTGGTTTATACGTTTAGTCTTGTCCTGATTTAATATGAATTAAAATGCCAATGCCACGACCAGTCTGCAAATATGAGTCAGAACAGAAACTATTTAAATAATACTATGGATGATACCCGTCTGGTTTGATATCTAGATCATAGAGAATAATGCTGTTTTTGTTTTCTACTACTATTGCCTGCTATTGCCAATGAAGTGTTGATTGTGACTGTGACCACAAATATGTTTTGTTCCTGGTCCTATTAAGCCAAAGAGTGTGGTTTACTGCATGTATGTACGTGAGGTTGTTTTGATTATACTAAATTCACTTTAGAAAACCCACATTCTGCCACTGCAGCGCTACAGGACAATGAGAAAAGATTTTCCAATGAGAACAGTGTTTTAAAAGCAAACCACTGGGCCCCTTCCCTTTAAAAGAACTTTAAGGCACACTACCCTTTCTTCTGAATTTGATTATTTCCCCAAATTACATTTGAATACTGTCTTCAACAGAAGGTCCCCATCCTTTTCCTTCTTGGTCATTACATAAGACATAGCAAATTTCAAATTGTACATTTCCATTTCACACAGGGGTTCCACTTCTTTAAATCATTACTTTACTGTACTGAGTAAAAACATTATGTGCTAACTTTTTTTTAGCGGTGAGTCTAGCTACCATATGTCCAATGGTAGCTTGAAGCTTATCTTTCTGATTTTTCGGTACCTTGTCTCTGCAGCCATGGGAATGTTTACCATTTAATGTCTGCCACTCTGAGCTTCTAGATTTCCAGACAGAGGGCCAAGATTGTTTTCTAAAGGGTCAACATGGTATTTTATAGTTTGAGTTATAACATAGCATCGTCTAGCTCTGGCAGAATCTCAGTCAATATGATCATCTTCTAGGAAAGACAGGCTTTACTGTTGAGTGGTGAATATGCCTATCAAAAAAATGTGTCCAAAGAGGTGTCTGACCTCCTTTGCGTGACTCTCACTCCTCATTCAGTTTATTCAGCCTCCTCCAAGTGGGTGATAGAAAGGCATTTAACATGATCACTGCTGCCCATGTCTTTTACAAACTGAAACATCAGCAAAAATGACAGCCAAACTTAGAAAAACCTGATGCTCTTTCATCCTGGTTTAAATGAACCCTAGCTTTAAAGCTAGAATATACAACCCCGTCTAAATCCCAGATAAGGAGACAGTCAACAGGTACCCTCCTGGAATCAATCCTAATCCCAACCTGGCAGCTTTTATCACATTTATTAAAGTTTGCCTATTTTTCCCTATTTCATAGCTTTGCTCTCCACCTAGGTGCATGCCAGCGTACAGTTTAGTGCTTCCCAGTCATTTTACCAGGATTTTTTTTAACACAGGATACATGTAAACTATGTCTACATGGGTACTACATGGAGATTTCTGTCAGATTAAACTCCTGCCAGCTAAATTTAGACCCCCTCTTTTTCTTAAGTGCCTGAAGTCCTGTGCTAGTAACTGAAAGACTGAGGCTGTCCCTTCTTTTTCAGTGGAAGCAAATTAGCTTATCACTAATAAAAAGCCCTTCACTGCTGCTTAGAGGCTAATAATTGTTAGTCAGATATATTCTTGTGATAGCATTTGTACAATTTAAGAAACCCTCTCAGCTGACTGAGAAGTGAAATGGCTTTTCTTCAAACACTTAATCTCACTGTAACAGCATCCATGGCTACAACCCATGGTTTAATCTCTGGTTACAATATGGCCAGTTAATACGGCTTCAAATAAATTACTGTATTTCTATCATATCAAACTTGCAGCCAAAAAACGGGAAATTTGTTCGGGTTTTTTTGTTGGAAGTGTCAAGAAAAAGTCCAAAGCTGCGGCTGTCAGCAGTGTTTAAACTGGTAGACAATTTTTTCTTGATTTTTCTTCCCACATTTTAGAGACAGGAAAAGGAACGTCTTGAGGTTACAGCACCATGTTTTATATTTCAATATAACGTCACAAGCATCTGATAGCACGTTCACACATAACGTCAAGATCAGTTCTACGAGATCTTACTCTGACTTACAAGACAACTATTCTTGGGAAGCTGCCAGTGTGTTCTGCAGATTACATAAAGCATTAAATCTTTCTGACACAGGCTCTATGATTATTTAAGGGTTTTCATCATTTCTGCAACACACGTCTGTACCTAAACTGTACTTAATCCTCAGCATATTCTTCTAATCATGTATTCTACACTTTCTTGAGCCACAGGCTTTTGATATAATTGTCTGCTGATTGAGGAATTGAGTTTTTTACTGCAGAATTCCCAGCAGGACAAGCTGATGCAGTCCAGATACATACGGTTTTAAATCCTATTTTAACCAAGTCTGCATATATAGTTTTAAAAACAGATCTATTAGTGCAAATCAAAGACTGATCTGCAAGTTTACTGAGGCTGACAAGGTCAGCCAGTTTAGGTTAGTATTTGCATCGTTGCCAACTCTTGCAATTTTGCCTGAATTCTTCAGATATTTAGTATTTGCTATAAAACCCAGAGCTTTCATGAACTTCTGTATTTTAATTTTTGAAACGTTCCCAAACTTTACCTATGTATTAAAAAAAAAAAAAAGAGACCCAAGTAACTAATTCTAAAAGCAAAATGCCCAGAAAATTTAAAGAAAGGAATGAAGCCATTCCTTTAAAGAAAGATTTCATAATTTAAAACCCAGCTTTGGGATGCAGAGGTGCTAAATTTTTAAGGGCTTCCTATTTCCACTTTGTGATCAGTTTGGATATGAATTGCTTAGGAGGTCTTCTCTCTCTCTTTTCTTTCAAAGTGTCACAGAAAATGCTGTTTGCAAGTAATCAACTTACAACCTACTTTTTCATAGAACTAACTTCAGTTTATTTGCAATATTAAGCTTTCTTTCTCGCTTTTCAAGTGGAGACAAGTGCTTTGAACTGAAAACGTGTTACAGTTGACCAGCTTTATTCACCATCATAAAATTGTTTCAAACTCCTCTGCTGATAAAGAGTATCAAAGTTCACGATTTCCCACGCGGGTTACTATGAAATGCTGCTTTTCTGGCAAGGCTAACGCCGAGCCACCTAGCACAGCTGAAAACACAAACCCAAGTCTCTCTTCTCCCTAAAGTTACAGACAGCTGATCAAAGCTCCAGCAGACAACACGTTCAAACTTCTCCCAGTTCCCACAGTATTCTTTCAAAGTATTATTTGCAGGGCTGACATCACCCGGGCCCAGCCGCCCCCACCGGCGGCTCTGCTCCTTCCCCCTGCCCCCGCCGCAGCCAACTCCCCGCCTCGGCTCCCTCTGCCCAGGGCCGAGAGCTCCGCGCCGCCTCACCTCTGTCTCTTATACA